TGCCTCCCGGGTTCACGCCACTCTCCTGCCTCAGCCTCCCAAGCAGCTGGGACTACAGACGCCCGTCACCACACCTGGCTAATTTGTTGTATTTTTAGTAGAGACAGGGTTTCACCTGTTAGCCAGGATGGTCTTGATCTCCTGACCTCGTGATCCACCCACCTTGGCCTCCCAAAGTGCTGGGATTACAGGCGTGAGCCACCGTGCCCGGCCCAGTACATACCTTTATTTAAAAACACTTCAATGCTAAAAAATACTGATACAGAGATATGAAATGGACACATGCTGCTAAAAAAAAAGATACCAACATCGCCAGGCAAAGTGGCTCACGCCTGTAATCCCAGCACTTTGGGAGGCAGAGGTGTGTGGATCACCTGAGGCCAAGAGATCAAGACCATCCAGGCCAACATGGTGAAACCCCGTCTCTACTAAAAATACAAAAATTAGCTGTGTGTGGTGGCACATGCCTGTACTCCCAGCTACTCGGGAGGCTGAGGCAGGTGAATTGCTTGAACCTGGAGGTTGCAGAGAGCCAAGATCCCACCACTGTACTTCAGCCTGGGCAACAGAGTGAGACTCCATCTCAAAAAAAAAAAAAAAAAAAAATAGAGCCAACAGACATGCTCAACACAGGATTGCCACAAACCTTAAGTATGTGAAAAACTTACAAAGTGTAATAAAGTAAAGCACAATAAAACGAAGTATGCCTGTAGTCACTGTAAGCAAATCATGAAACCTCAGAAACACATCTGTAACCACTTTTGAACCCATTTTTTTTTAGTAGAAAATACTCATGTAACATATCTACTGTTTTTCCTTTCCTAAAGTCCCTTCTTCTTAACTAAGCAAAAGTATAAAAAAGCTCAATTTCTAAAATTCCCATGTAGGGGCACAGTGTTATCTTCCCAAAGAAAGACCTTTTAAGAATTACCGAAAGTCACATACATCTCCAAAAAAAGGGAGAAAACGAAGTCACATTGATTGCATCCTGAGAAGCACAAACTGAGCATCTGAGTATCTACTATGTGCACAATACTCCAGCTTTGTAAAACAATGTATTTACTTGCAAATACATGATACCACTGTGCTTTTTTAAAACAGGTCTTCTACCAGTTTAAAGACTAAAAGGAAGTAAAGAAATCTAAAATAAATTCTACTTTTTCTTAGTGTTGAGCTCCAAACCAATTTGAAACTATTTTAATGTGCAGCAAGAAACTGCCTTCCATATAAATCAATCCTAAAGAAACCATATTTTCTAGCTGGTTCTCTCATATCACTATTTTAACACTTCAATTAATTGTGCACATCACTGCCAGACTTTTCTTAAACTTGATTTCCAAGGCTCTGATATAATTCAATCTAATCTACTTTTTAAACTATCCAGCAAATACATACTCTCTTCTGTTTCCCCTAGAATCCCAGCAATTTGGGAGGCTGAGGCAGAAGGGCTGCTTGAGCCCAGGAGTTAAAAGACCAGTCTGGGCAACATGGCAAGACTCTGTCTCTACAATTTTTTTTTTTTTTTAATTAGCTAGGCATGGTGGTGTGTGCCTGTGGTCTCAACTACTTGGAAGGATTGCCTGAGGCTACAGTGAGTAATATCAGAACCACTGCACTCCAGCCTGGGTGACAGTCTTAAAAAAAAAAAAAAAAAAAAAGAAAAGAAAATACAACATTTTCCATTAAGACTGTTCCTGGCCGGGCATGATGGCTCATGCCTGTAATCCCAGCACTTTAGGAGGCTGAGGTGGGCAGATCATGAGGTTAGGAGATCGAGAACATCCTGGCTAACACGGTGGTGAAACCCTGTCTCTACTAAAAAAAAAAAAAATTAGCCGGGGTTGGTGGGGGGCGCCTGTAGTCTCAGCTACTCGGGAGGCTAAGGCAGGAGAATGGCGTGAATCCGGGAGGCAGAGGTTGCAGTGAGCCGAGATTGTGCCACTGCACTCCAGCCTGGGCGACAGAGCAAGACTCTGTTTCAAAAAAAAAAATGGTGGCTAAAGACATTAGTACAGTACTCTAAGTTAGAGTGCTTATATATATATTTGTAATATTTTACATTGGATGGGGTGTGGAGGAGGAGAAAGAGCACCTGTCTATACCCCCTAAAAAAAGAAAACCCAAGAAAAAATTATATAAAGAACACTTTCACATTCAGATTCCACAGATGAAGAAATCATATAAAACATGCATATACTTAAAGTTTAAAAGCCCCAATAATTTATATCTTTTACAAAGAGAGAGTCTCTATATTATTATACACTGGGAAAAGGGGAGGATCTTAAAAACTCTAGGATCTACTACAAAAAGTTTTATTACTCAAATATACCTGGCAGCATCATTATCGTTAGGAGAGTTAAGTAATACTCTCCATTGCGATTTTGCTACAACTGGACTTTTTTCATCATGTTAAAAAGAACTCCTAGAACAAAACTAAAACTAAGGTGATGAGCTTTCAGGGTAAAATATATCTGTAAGGAAAGCCACGAATATTCCATACCTTGTTAATGGTAATGATGTTATTTGCAATTACAGCTAGTAATCCCACATCTGTTGGTCTGTGAACAACAAGCAACAGTCAAAACCAAACAAACTTTTACAAAGAACACTATCCCTATAAAAGACACTTCCTTTTAATAACTCACTTTAGTTTTATTATTTGATTGTAAAGTTGCAAAGCCTCCTCTGTTCGACCCTGAAGCTGCAGAATATAGGCCATCTGACCATGAATGATGGCCAGTTCTGCCTGTGGGTCTTCCTCAGTCCCATCCTAAGAGAAAGAAATATTTTCCCATATAAATTTTCCAAACTGATCTACATATTTACCAAATAACCCAAAAATTCAAAAGAGATACAATCCTAAAGAAGACATAATTTCAGAAATTTTCCTTTAGAGTCAATTCTTTAGAAATTGCCAGCAAGAGAGAAGTTTAAGTGAAAATAGCAAAAAGACTTCAACTTCTAAGAAATATCTAAAGAAAAAAAAAAAGGCAAAAAGATCCTAGAAGAACACGGTAATAAGTTTAGGAATACCATTTATTGATCATTATCATCGTCTAAAGCCCAAGAATTGAAAAACCTAAGTAAAAAACCAGCATGCAAGTATATCTTTTTATAATGATACCCCTAAATTCTGAAAACATAATTTTCTCATAAAAATCACATTTAAAAATGCTTTTCTCTCTACTCTACTATAACTCTACTATAAAAACTAGAAAATTCCAATTAACACTATACAAAAAAACTTCAAAAGCTGGAACTAATTCTGTACTTTAATCCTATATTGAACAAATTATGTAATTAAAGTAGTAGCTCTCTTAACTGATGCTCCAGATTAATCCACATTTCTCCTCTCCTTCTGAAAAGGCTGTACAATGAATACTCAAGACTAGGAGACAACACTCCTTTAATGACCCAACACTCCTGCTCTCACCTGGTGAGTATCTGCTGACCAGGAGTCAGGTATGTTTGTTTCCAAACCCATTATGCAGTTGTGTTTGATGAGGAAATGATAAAACTTAAAAATATTAAAGAGAAAAACTATGGGCTGGGCATGGTGGCTCACGCCTGTAATCTCAGTGCTTTAGGAGGCTGAGGTGGAAGGGTCGTTTGAGGCCTGGAGTTGAGACAAGCCTGGGCAACACAGTGAGACCCCCATCTCTACAAAGAAGAAAAGAATTAGCTGGGCATGGTGGTGCTACTCAGGAGGCTGTGGTGAGAGGACTGCTTGAGCCCAGGAGTTTGAGGTTACAGTGACCTATGATCACACCACTGCAATTCAGCCTGGGTGAAACAGCAAGATCCCATCTCAAAAAAAAACAGGAGAGAGTTAACTCTGAATGTGAAAAGAGACATATTTCAACATAAATCATGTTGAATACTCAGAAAGATACAGTAAAGGTAAATTCCTAAAGAAAATTATTGTCTAATTAGTTGTGAGCCAAAAAGATTGGCTGCGGTAAGAGATTGGTTAAAAAAAAAAAAAAAACTTTAAGGACTCTATAATGAAAGTGCTTACCTATTGTATTTAAGATATTGTTATACTTAAAAAGAAAAACCAAAAGTGTAAATTGGGAGTGTTGAATTATGTCACTACATAAGAAATACACAGAGAACTTCTATGAGCAGACCAATCCTCAAAGACCTTAGTCCTATATCCTAAAATAGAGGAATAAATTTACATTATATAAATATATAATCAAGTGCTTAAGGTATGCCAAAATTTTTTGTATTGTGATTTCTCACTCTAATAGACTTCATCAAATAACTGATACAAAAGGGTGGTTTCTAGTGTGATTCCTACTTAATCACCATCTTCCAAAGAAAGTCAATAAATAGTACAATGAAACCTCAGTAATGTTAATAGTCAGAAGTGTAAAATTTTGGTTTAACAATGATGGAATACTTACAGTGTCTTCTGATAAAGAACGGCGACAAAGATCTATAGGAGAAAAAATGGTTTTAAAAGTAGTATTGCTGGGTAAATCCCATTTCTTTCACTGTTCCAAAGAGCAAGATCTAAATTTCTAGGCAGAAGATTCCAAGATAATCATAGTAACAAGCAACTGTGAAATTTACGTTAGCATCAAATATACTACATATATATTATCAGTCCCTTGACTTTCCTAGCTCTTTGGCACTTTTCTTTCATTTGTTGGTCTATGCTAAAAATATTTGTAAAGTGCATCAAAAAATACAAATGTGGTAAATATTAATTGCAAAAAACCAATTATAGAAAAGTATAAAAATAAATAATCCTACCACCCAGAGATAAACACTATTAGCATTTCAGTTATTTAGTTTTTAATATTTTTTTTGTTTGTTTTTAAAGTTGGGGGGTCTCACTCTGTTGCCCACGCTGGAGTGCAGAGGCTTCATCACAGCTCACTACAGCCTTGAAATCCTGGGCTCAATTGATCCTCCCACTTCCGCCTCCCAAGTAGCTGGGACTACAGCTGTGAGCCACCACACCTGGCTTAGTTTTATGTAAATGCATAGCTGCATTTTAAAATGAAAGTGAGACACTGTGCATGCTATTTTGAAACCTCCCTTCCCCATTCAATATCCTGTGGATATCTCTCTGTTACAATAAACATACATTTACATTACTGTATCTTTTTTAATGTTATTGGTTGTAATGACTGTAATTACTTTGTGATTATGGTAAAACTTAGCCAATCCTTTAATAGTACAGAACTTCATGCTGTTTCTAAATTTCTGTTCTTATGAATATCCCTTCAATGAACATTCATACAGACACATGTGTAAATTTATCTAATCATTTCCTTAAGTTTCTAGAAGTGAAATTATTGGATCAAAGGGTGGTAAATTTTAAAATCTGCTACACATCACCAAATTGCTCACTGAAAAGTCTGTATTATTCTTACACTCAAACCCACAATGTATGAGAACGTTCTTCATTGGGTATGATCAAGAAATTATAATTCTGCTGGGTGCAGTGGCTCATACCCGTAATCTCAGCACTTTGGGAGGTCGAGGTGGGTGGGTCACTTGAGGTCAGGAAATTATAATTATCTCTTTTTTTTTTTGAGACAGGGTCTCACTCTGTCACCCAGGCTGGAAATACAGTGGTATGATCTCAGCTCACTGGAGCCTCAATCTCTTAGGCCCTCCTAGGCCCTGCTGCCTCAGTCACCCGAGTAGCTGGGAATACAGGTGTGCACCACCACACTCAGCTAAATATATATATATATTTTTGTAAAAACGAAGGCTTACTATGTTACTCAGGCTGGTCTTGAACTGCTAGGCTGAAGCAATCGTCCTGCCTTGGCCTCCCAAAAGTGCTGGGATTATAGGCATGAGCCACTGCACTCAGCCAAAAAATTATAATTCTGAAACAGATTTTCCACATGATGCTCTAATCTTTGTTCTTATTTTAACTTTCAACATTTAACAGGAAAATTTTGCTCTCATTTTAAACCCTAATATTTAATAGTAAAACAGACCTTGTTTCACCTTTTTTTCCACCCCAATGATCACTGCAGTACTACATTACTTTTATAGCTTCCAGGGAAAAATGTATGCACAAGCAAAGTCAAAATGTTTCATGTGTTAATACCAGACATAGTTCTCTAATCAATTAATTTTTTTCTTAACTAAAAGCTTCAGCTGGGCACGGTAGCTCACGGCTGTAATCCCAGCACTTTAGGAGGCCAAGGCAGGCAGACCACTTGACAACAGGAATTTGAGATCAGCCTGGCCAACATGGCGAAAACCGTCTCTACGGAAAATACAGAAATTAGTTGGGCATGGTGGCACGTGCCTGTGATCTCAGCTACTTGGGAGGCTGAGGCATGAGAAATGCTTGAACCTGAGAGGCGGAGGGTGAAGTGAGCCAAGTTCTTGCCAGTGCACTCCAGCCTGGGCGACAGAGCAAGCCTCTGTTCCTCCCCTGCCCACAACCCCACCAAAAAAGCTTCAAAGCATGCAAATATTATATAAAGAAACATACCAAATGGAGCTAAAACATGCTTGAGGCCAAGTGTGGTGGCTCACGCCTGTAATCCTAGCACTTTGGGAGGCTGAGGCAGGTGGATCACGAGGTCAGGAGTTCGAGACCAGCCTGGCCAACATGGTGAAACCCCGTGTCTACTAAAAATACAAAAATTAGCTGGGTGTGGTGGCGGACGCCTGTAATCCCAGCTACTTGGGAGGCTGAGGCAGGAGAATTGTTTGAACCTGGGAGGTGGAGGTTGCAGTGAGCTGACATCACGCCATTGCACTCCAGCCTGGGCACCAGGGCGAGACTCTGTCTCAAAAAAAAAAAAAGTGCTTGAATGGTGCTATCAATACATAAATGTAGTGTATGTGTGTGTATACACATAGGCACACCATGTTATTACTTGAATACCTGTTAAACAACAATAATAATAGTAACAAAATATTTACTGAATGCTTATACTATATGCCATCATGCCATGTATTATTGTGAATGGCTGACATTCATTAACTCACTTAATCTACACATAACATTCACAGTAACTTGTTCAAAACCTGCTCCTCAAAATTCAAACGTAAGGTCTGGTATGGTTGGAAACAGACTAATAGACTGGTTTAGGGATTAGAAATATAGGTGAGATATGGTCAAAAAGAGAAAGTGCCAGTAATCCCAGCACTTTGAAAGGCCGTGGAGGGTGGATCACTTGAGGCCAGGAGTTCGAGGTCAGCCTGGCCAACATGATGAAACCCCGTTTCTCTACTAAACATACAAAAATTAGCCAGGCGTGGTGGCACGCACCTATAATCCCAGCTACTCAGGAGGCTGAGGCAGAACAGATTGAACTTGGGAGACAGAGGTTGCAGTGAGCCGAGATCGTGCCACTGTACTCCAGCCTGGGTGACACAGTAAGATTCTGTCCGCATCCCCCGCCAAAAAAAAAAGAGAAAGACTATATGAACTTTGAGAAATTGTCACTGCATCGATAACTTCCATTTAATAATTTCACAGAAGTCCAGTGCAATTTTAGAAGATACTCTACAAAGTTATATGCACATTATATTTACAGGTAAGTTTAACAAACTTCCAACCTTCAGCCTTTTGCAGGATTTTCATGGCCTGGTTCAGCTGGCCTTGGCCTATTAGTGCACACGCAGTGTTGTAGCACAGCTCATGTGTGCCTTCTTGGAGGCCCAAGTTCTCCTGTCAGGGGACAAAATACCAGTTAAATACTAAACATGAATAATACTTCACGACTGTATGGGTATACCACAAGGATACTCACTGGAACCACTTTTTCCCAATTGCTTTGAGCTGCAACAACTGCTGAAAGGTTTGTTTTCCTCTCCTCATCATAATCATCTTGAGAGTTTCGGACAAGATCTCTATATACCGCTAAGCATTCATCATAGCGTTCCAAACGGTATAACTGAATAATAAATAGCAAGTAAAAAAATTAGAGACAAATATGGTGTTATGTCTTTAATACCATGCAAATCTTTTTTGGAACCACTAAGTAGGAATCCTAGTTCAGCATAACGGGAACAATCAACTGTTTATGTTTTATAATTTTTAAATGAGTTCCACGTACCAGTCATACTTCCAAATAAATTACTTTTTGAAAATACTTTTAAAATGAATGTTCAATATATTGTGGATCTGTAGGCAGGATTCAGTTGAGAAAAGTCATTTTCTTTCTTTTTTTTTCTTTTCTTTTTTTTTTTTTTTGAGACGGAGTTTCACTCTTGTTGCCCAGGCTGGAGCGCAGTGGTGTGATCTCGGCTCACCACAACTTCCACCTCCTAGGTTCAAGAGATTCTCCTGCCTCAGCCTCCTGAGGTAGCTGGGATTACAGGCATGCGCCACCATGCCTGGATAATTTTGTATTTTTAGTAGAGAGGGGGTTTCTCCATGGTCAGGCTGGCCTCTAACTCCTGACCTCAAGTGATTTGACTGCCTCAGCCTCCCAGAGTGCTGGGATTACAGGTGTGAGCCACCACACCCGGCCAAGAAAAGTCATTTTCTTTACCTTTCTTCTTGAAGTTAGTAAAGTGCCTAAGGGCGCGGTGGCTCAAGCCTGTAATCCCAGCACTTTGGGAGGCCGAGACGGGCGGATCACGAGGTCAGGAAATCGAGACCATCCTGGCTAACACAGTGAAACCCCGTCTCTACTAAAAAATACAAAAAAATAGCCGGGCGAGGTGGCCGGCGCCTGTAGTCCCAGCTCCTCGGGAGGCTGAGGCAGGAGAATGGCGCAAACCCGGGAGGCGGAGCTTGCAGTGAGCTGAGATCCGGCCACTGCACTCCAGCCTGGGCGACAGAGCCAGACTCCGTCTCAAAAAAAAAAAAAAAGTAAAGTGCCTAAATAGGTTGTGAAAAACACCTTTATAGAATTCAACCCTGTTATCTAGATCTAAAGTTACAACGAAAATATCTTTCCACAACACAAAATGATTACTAAAACAGGAACAAAATTAAATGTTAAGAAAAAGACAATGTTTCCTAGAGTTCGCTATAATCTTCATTTTATCTTTCTTAGAAACCAGCTATCACACAGGTGAGTCTCAAGCAGACACAACAGAATTCCTACCGATTTCATTCAAGTTGTGCTGAAAAAATAATAACTGCCACTCTAGGTCAATTAGTCCATTATGTATGACACAGGTTGATGTCTTTAACCTCAAAATGCTAGAATTTACCCTAAAGTTATCCAGTTTACCTTAAAAGTTTTTTATAGACCTACAATCCATGAATTTGTCCAAATCTTTCTTCAACTCATTTGTATTATTAAATCCATACTACCTCCTGAGAACAATACATTCAATACAACATTATTTGCCCTAAATTGACATTTAACAGTCTTTAAGGGGAGGCCAGGCGTGGTGGCTTATGCCTGTAATCCCACTACTTTGGGAGGTCAAGGCAGGCAAATCACTTGAGGCCAGGAGTTTGAGACGAGCCTAGGCAACATGGCATAACCCCGTCTCTACTAAAAAATATAAAAACTAGCTGGGTGAGTTGGCGCATGCCTGTAATCCCAGCTACTCGGGAGTCTGAGGCAGAAGAATCGCTTGAACCTGAGAGTTGGAAGCTGCAGTGAGCCAAGATAGTGCCACTGCACTCCAGCCTGGGCAACAGAGCGAGACTCCATTAAAAAAAAAAAAAAGAAAAGAAATACTTTAAGTTAAGAGGGTTTTGTTAACTATAATATACACATTTCTGTCCTCTTGTCATTAACAGCCCCATTTTACATTAGGTTTAATTTTATGTCTCAAAATACTTTAAAATATTTTCATGATTTCATGGGCTAGAATAATCTAAATTCTTATCTATCATGCTATCCTTTATTTTAAATTTAGAATACAATATTAGTGAAATACTATTTCAAACCTGTTGAAGTATACAAGCTCAAATGTGCTTTATCTTTCTAACTTAAAAGTCAAAATTAAACAGATTAGTTCTTTTATTTTCTTTGATTTCCTAATTACCTGAGGAAGTCATTTGTTCATAGCATGTTATATATGCAACTATTTGTATGAAGATCAAGAAGAGGGATTATGTTCAAACCTCAAGGACTGGTTTGGTGGCTAGTGTTGTGGAGCATCAGGATGGGCTGGGTTTCCTCAACCCTGCTCCTTGCTGGAGGTAGTCATGCTCACTCAGGATCACTGTCAACATGTATTTAAAAGCAGTAATTACCACTTGTCCATAAAGCTCCTTCAGTTTGTCTGTCTGCTGGTTAGCACTTTCTATTGTCTTCAAGGCATTCTCAATTCTGTTCAGCCTGTACTCGCAATATGCCTTTTCAAAGGAGAGAGAGTTACTGAAGAAGGAAAAAAACCAGTATCTGATTATTATCTAACAATGCAATGCACCCAATATATAGAACATCGCTCTAAGCACTGGATTTAGTCCTGATAACAGATGAGAAAACTGACAAAGGTTAGAGACTTATCTATATATCAGATAGCTTGTAAATGTCTATCAAACATATAATTAAGCATATATCAGTTTCCCTAGCCTTTCTTTCATGGATATTCTTATTAAAATAAACATTTAAGAAGGAAATCATTAATCTGCTAAATAAGTAATTGTCTTAGATACAAAGATAATTTGAAGGCTGCTTTAAATGGGTTGTTTTGGAAGTTTCTTAAATTCATTAACAAAACAATAAGCCATATAATGCTTCTTTAAACTTGTTTAAGAAACAAATAATTAGCAAAGAAAAAATAACTATAAATCTTAAAAGAAGTACCTGTAATCAAACAACCGGTAAACACTACTAACATACACACACTTAAAAATTCATCTACATTAATGTGATACCTCATTGATGATGTTTCAACCATAATCCATGAGGAAAAATATTTATTAAAGCAAAGGCCAATGTCCTTTATTTACTTACCTAACAAAAAAATTTATTTTTAGGCCAGGTGCGGTGGCTCATGCCCGTAATCCCAGCACTTTGGGAGGCTGAAGCGGGCGGATCACTTGAGGTCAGGAGTTCAAGACCAGCCTGGCCAACATTGGCAAAACCCTGTCTCTACTAAATTACAAAAATTAGCCCGGTGTGGTGGTGCACATCTGTAAACACAGCTACTTGGGAGGCTGAGGCAGGAGAATCGCTTGAACCTGGAAGGTGGAGGTTCCACCAGCCTGGGCGACAGAGCAAGACTCTGTCTCAAAAAAAAAAAAAAAAAAAAAATTTATAAATACTTTTATCCAAGACTCATTGACAAAATGTTTTTGAAAATGTCTCTCACAAAATAGCCCAAAATCAAGACACTGAATTTTAGCACAAACATATTTAATAGGAGAAAAGCAGCATTGCCTCCATTTCCCTTTTATTTTTAATAAAGTTTAAAATTAATTTTTAATCTCTGTAACACATTTATACGGCTCAAATATAAAAAGAAAAAGATATACAGTAAGAGGCTTTATTCCCACTGCTACCCAAATCTAACCCATTCCTATTACCTCCTACAAGTGACTTTTTTTTTTTTGAGACGGAGTCTCCCCGTTACCCACGCTGGAGTGCAATGGTGCAATCTCAGCTCACTGCAGCCTCCGTCTCCTGGGTTCAAGTGATTCTCCTCCCTCAGCCTCCTGAGTAGCTGGGAATACAGATGCTTGTCACCATACCCAGCTAATTTTTTGTATCTTCAGTAGAGATGGGGTTTCACCATATTGGCCGGTCTGGTCTCAAAGCCCTGACCTTGTGATCTGCCCTCTTTCGGCCTCCCACAAATGACTATTTACTCATTGTTTCTCTTTATATTGTTTGTTTTGCAAATACAGGCAAATGGATATATAAATTTTTACATCCTCCTCCTCTTGCAAAAGGAAGTATATTGTATATTGTTCTGCACCTTATAAACCAGTATCCCATTAATATGCTTCAAATTTAATTTCAATACTTTTTTTTGGAGCCTAGGTGTAACAGTAAAGAAACTTTGACTGAGTTATTCTCCCTACATCCTCCAAGGACTCATAATTATGCCCCATAACTCTCTATGGTTCACCTCCTTAGTGGTTCAAAGGAAACACAATGGTTAAAACAAACAAAAAATAGACCCTCTAAGGCTAAAAGAAACCGAAGTTACTAGTATTCCTCCCAGTTTCAGAAACATTATTGACAAGCAAAAGGGGGAAAAAAGGAAGGAAAGATAAAAAAAATCAGCAAATGGTTGGGGAAAAAAACATGGAAGAGATTATAGCTATACTAAGTGTTTCTAATAACTGTACAAGCAACTAACTGAATCACTTACTTGGCTAACACTTTGGTGTGAGTATTGATGACATTCAAAGCTTCCTTGAAACTTCCATTCTGGATAAGGCATACCACTTTACAATGCAGGGCAGTTACATCATCTTTGTTGATCTGTAGTACTAGAGAACAATTTTAGGAAAGCCATTTTTAAATCCATTCCTTTTCACATTTTTACTAAATTTTCCCATCCTGTCTCTCCGAAAGCTAAATTTCTAATTTTATTGCAGCAGAAATAATTGGTCAGAACAACTAGAAGAAACAGCAACAAAGCAAAACAAACCCAGAAAATAACTAATCTTCACTTTTAACTTAAGAAGTGACAATAAGGAGAGTTTTAAATTTTCAATGAGATAAAGATGCCCAGTATGCATGTACCAAAAAAGTGCAGTGAAATAAAGAAGAAAGAAGCAATTTCTCCAGATATTTCATCTTGAAATGCATGCTACATTCTGTATAGTTCATTACTTCACAGGGAAACAGTTCAGGTAGAATTTGGAAGCAGATGACCTAGGTTTGGTGCAAGCTTGCCACTAAATGCCTTGAGGTCTTGGGTATATCACTTAACAGCCAAATCTTAGTTTTCTGAGCTACAAAATGATTAGAAAAGCATTACCTATTTAATAAGGTTACTGAAAACACGAAATGAGAATATTCCGGAAAAATTTTATAAAGTATAATGCAAAGGCAATTTATCTTGCTGGCAACGTTTCCAAAAATCATTAAAATTTTCCCTTTTCACCTAAGATGACCAAAGTATAAGGAAGAACTCAGGTGGCAAGTTTCAATGTTAACAACTGTTCGGTATTAAAATGACCAGGATCATCGTTACTCTTGTTCCTGTGCAACTACAGAAGTCCAATTCTCAAAGAATCACAAGAATTTCTACCAATTAAGAAAACATACTGGTGAACAAGTTGACAATCTTTGCTGATTAAAAGAATTCCTGCAAAATACTACACTGCTACTAAGTACATAGTACTGTTTGGAAGGCTAGAGTTAATTCAAACAAATGTAGGGATAAATTCTAATTCGTAGCTATTCTCCTCAATGTCTGAAATCACCAAAAGTGCACTGTGGGCACAATCACTACTTTTCACGTTAACCCAGTGCTAGAGTGTTGAAAATTATTTAGACAGCTTTCTATGTTACTGACACACCTTTTAGGTTAATACTACTCTGAACAGCTAAGCCGTGCCTTGGTAATTACATTTCCAAATATAACATGCACAGGCTGTATCTTCACTAGAGAAGAACTGCGCACCACCGAAAACATTAAGTAGCATGGCCATGCCACATTCCAGGTATGTAGTAAAGAACAAAAGGATATGATGAATGAAACCTCACAACAAAGGCAGTAAAACCCTAAACTATCCCTTACAAGGCAAAAAAAAAAAAAACAGGTTAACTTTTCTTCCGACATTTATCCATGTTGGTGCTTCCACACACATACTTCCTAACTTAATAACACTGAAGAGATCCCATCTGTGGGAATGACAGGCCTGACATCCAGATTCAGCCCTTTCCTCTCGCCCAGTAGAATACGTACAGCTTCCACCCGGTCAGCACCAGCTTCTAAACTACGTGTCCCAAGCAGGTTCCTCCCCCTTTAGCGGCCAAAGAGAACAAGCTCCCTTAGTAATACAGTCCTGATCACTGCGCTCAAGATGAAGAAGAAAAGAAGGCACTTTGGAATATTTGTGAAATAAAACAGCAAAGAGGGAGTCAAATAAGAAAACAGTTTGAAATGGGCTCCGAGAGCTGCGGTCTCTTTAAAACCTGCCCTCGCTTCCCGCGGGGGGTAAAGACGGAAGTACACGTGGCTCTAAGCAACCAGGGACCCCAGGCTGACCTGGTGAAGCCGAGGGGTGAGACCTGCGTCTTCCGGACGTTTGGGCCCGAGCCGACGGGAGAATGGTCGGGGGGGTTTCGGGGGTCTCCCCTTCCCGTGCCTCCCGCGCGAGGTGGTCTCGCGCGCCGGAAACAGGCCGCATCCTCCCGCCGGCCTGGGCCCGCCCCAGTGCCCACCCCGACACTTACTCTTATTGACGGTCTTGAGAGCGCGCGTGAAGTCGCCGTTCTGGCCATACCGGTTCACTTCACTCCACAGCGCAGGCACTGACACCCCCCCACTGCCGCCACTCGCCATCTTGGAGGAGACGAGGGGCGGGGCGGGGCGACCTCTGCCCCGGAAGAGGATCTCTAAGGCTGCCAAGAGGAGGAGGAAGTTGATGATTGCTAAGCGTAGGGAGCGTCTTCAACCCTGAGGCAGCATCAGAGACCTTAATCTTCTGCTCTCGTGGCAAGAAATTTGCACGGATAGAGTTGATGCACCTCACTTGAAGTTGGCCTGGAGAAAGAGGCGTCGGACTCCCGGACGGGGTTGGGAAACGGTCACCAGTTTCGGCTCAAAGCAGCGTGTTTCCAGGAGACCGCCATGGTCGAGGCAGCGTCCCGGTCCCACGGTGCGGGCCCAGACGATCATTTGTAGGATATAAATAAAAGGACTATGAGGTGGTAAATGAAAGACTACCAACTAGAAGCCGTAGGGAGTCATTTGAAGGAGAAATAGGCACGGCTTGTCGGTGGTTGAGGGAAAGGGATCTTGAAAGATGATTAGGAGAACTTGGGTTCTGGGGAAAGTAGGGGAGGACATTCTGGCAGAGAAGCAAACGTGAGGAAAGGTAAGAAGGCAAGAATCTCCCATTACAAAGGGTTTGGTGAAACCCTCTGCCTGTCATTTTCGCTCCATTCGGGAGCAGTCGGCAATAAACTGAAAGGGTAATGGGGTGAAAATGCCCGGGGTCAGTTCCTGGCTCTGCGACTCACTAGATGCCTGGCAATAAACAAGTTACTTAGCTTCTGGGAGTCTTTTTTCCCGACTGTGAAATAGGGATACTATATTTGTTCTAGAGATATAAAATATTAGGGTTTGCTTACGACCTTAGTATCAAGATGTGTTCAAGTGTACGAACGGAATGGTATCTATTGGGTACACTTGGTGTGAGTATTTTTTTTTTTTTTTTAAGAGACGGGAATCTTGCTGTGTTGCCCAAGCTGGTCTGGAACTCCTGGGCTCAAGCAGTCCTCCCACCACAGCCTCTCCAAGTGCTGGGATTACAGGCATGAGCCACCACACCCAGACGATGTGAGAGATACACTTGATGTGAATGTTGTATTTTATTGAATGGCTTGCTTTTCAGACTCAGACTCATATCTTGTCATGACTTTTACAACTTCTGCTACTCCGTCTGTCCCTCAGGAACCTAGCTAACTTCTTTTTTTTTTTTTTTTTGAGACGTAATCTAGCTCTGTGACCCAGGCTGAACCTCACTGCCATCTCAACCTCCTGGATTCAAGCGATTCTTTTGCCCCAGCCTCCCAAGGAGCTGGGACTATAGGCATGAGCCACCGTGCCTGGTTAAGTTTTGTATTTTTAGTAGAGATGGGGTTTCACTATGCTTGGGTTAGGGTCACTATGCTTGGGTTGGTTTGAGACTAACCAAGCTAGTCTCAAATTCCTGACCTCAAGTGATCCGCCCTCCTCAGCCTCCCAAAGTACAGGATTTACAGGCCTAAGCCATTGTGCCTGACCTTGCTAACTTTTTTGTCTTTCAGTCTTTCTGGTTCTACGTTGAAAGTTACTTTGAGGAAACATTTGATCTTGCAGACTGGGCAACCTTGTGAAGCAAAAAATGCCAACTATGTGCCAGGCAATATGCTAGATCCTAGGGATACTGCAGTGAGCAAGGTAAATATGGTTCCTTGGCCTCAGAATTATAGTCCATATAGAGTGAGATAACCCTTAATTGATTGCATCCTCTTAGAACGGGGTCCCCAACCCTGGTACCGGTCTGTGGCCTGTTAGGAACCGGGCGGCACAGCAGCAGGTGACTGGTGGGCCAGTGGGCAGTACGGCCTGAGCTCTTGTCAGATCAGCTGTGGCATTAGCTTCTCACAGAAGCTCAAACCCTATTGTGAACTGGGAATGTGAAGGATCTAGGTTGCTCACTCCTTATGAGAATCCAATGATGAATGTAATGAGCTTGAATCATACTAAAACCAACTGTCCAACTCCTGTGGAAAGACTGTCTTCCCTGAAGCCGGTCCCTGGTGCCAAAAAGGTTGGGAGACCACTTATAGGAGATTCTGTCTACTTCTGAGCACTGATAATCAATTAAGGGTTATCTCACTCTGTATGGACTGTAATTCTGAGGCCAAGGAACCATATTTACCTTGCTCACTGCAGTATCCCTAGGATCTAGCATACTGCCTGGCACACAGTTGGCATTTTTTGCTTCACATTCCTTACCTAATCTGTGAGTTCCTTGAGGGCAGAAACTGCCCAGGTCCTGATATGGCATATGGTGTCCTGCCATATTTTTGTCTGGTCCTTGCAGTACATACAATGCAAACAGCATGAAAGGTGGCTTGAACTGTAGGTGCTGGAGGGTGTAATTCTTGTCAATTAGTAAAAATCATGAGAAGAGTTTTAGACCTTTACTGACTAGAATTGTCAAAGGTTTCAAGCCAGTTATGTTTAGATTTCAGGGGATGGGAGCTCCAGATGACAATGCTGTGTGAGAAAATTGGGTATACCCAACCAACATTTTGTTGTATTTTGTTATTCTGAGAAAATGTAGATTCCACTGTATTCTCCAAAGGTGTTTATATCCACTATCCCCTCCAAGTTAAGAGCCACTGCACTAGTATTACTTTTTAGAACATTGACTTTATATAAGAATTGGTAATTTTGGTTTCTATATCATTCTGATCCCATATATTTTGTAGCTTTTAGAAATGCTCAGAATTCTGCTGCTGTGGACTTGTTTCTATGTCTTATGTCATTTTAATGGAGTTTTGTGGCAAACAGCCTATAAATTTGGGGCTTAACCTGCCGTTTTTGAAACAGGAATCTTCCAAACCAGAGTGGCATATTTTTTTGTTTGTTTTGTTTTTTTAAATAAACAACAAATTTACATCTCACATGGTGAAGGATGGAAAGATTGTCTGGTGAGGTCCCACTCATAGATGGCATCTTCTGTTTTCAGATGGTGGGAAAAACACCAGACTGATCTCTTAAAGCATGTATCTGATGCCACTTTCCTACCCTCCTGATAAAATCCGAACTACAAAGACTAGCAGTAAGGGCTTTTGTCATCTGGCCTCTGCTTGCCACCTCCCCAACTCAAATAGGTCTCCTTACTCATTTCCTAGCCCCCTTGCATGCTAGTCATCTCTAACTTCTGTGTAGTTATGTGTCCCCCTACCTCCTGGAATCTGCACTTTTATTCATTTGACAAGTGTTTGAATGTCTTGTATATGCCAGTGCCATGTATTACACCAGTTGCTGGGATACAACTGACAACAAAGAAGACAACCCAGTGTAATACAAAATTTATTTTCTAGTTGGGAGAGATGGGTAATAAATATGTACTATGGTAGCAGTAAGTTTGCTGAAGAAAATTATGGAAAGCTAAGACAGATTGAGTATAGACTGTGGAGAATTATTTCATTCACAGTATACAATTGTTTTCTAGAGATCAGACAGCCCTTCCTATTTCTGTGTATTCACAATACCGTATTGTTAATTCCATGTTAAGACTTAATATGGTGTTTTGAAATTGTCTGCCTCTGGAGACTCCAACATTAATTGAGGGCAGAAGGTTAATTTTGTTCATCTTTGTATTCCGAGAGTCTCACATATACATAGTAGGCTGTATTCGTTCTCTAAAAAACACAGAACCAATAGGATATGTGGAAATTATGAGAAATTAGCTCTGCAAAATGGAGGTGAAGTCCCACAGTCTGCCTTCTGCAGACTGAAGGCCCAGGAAAGCCAGTGTAGTTCCAAACCCAAAGGCTTGAGAATCAGGGGAGGCAATAATGTAAGTCCTAGTCTGAAGGCCTGAGGACCAGGAGCACCAACGTCCGGGGGCACGAAATGGATGTCCCAGCAGTTCACCCTTCCTCCCCCTTTTTGTTCTATTTAGGTCCTCAATGGATCAGATGACGCCCACCCACATGGGTGAAGGCAGTCGTCTTTACTCAAGTCTACTGATTCAAGTGCTAGTCTCTTCCAGAAACACCATCACAGACGCACCTAGAAATGTTTGACCAGCTATCAAGGCATCCCTAGCCCAGTCAAGTTGACAGAATTAGCCATCTCATCAGTATCCATAATGTATTTTTATATTAATGGATTTAGCCATTTATGATTTGAGAAGCTTCTGTGTACAGTATCTTTTTTTTTGGCAACGGAGTTTCACTCTTGTTTCCCAGGCTGGAGTGCAATGGCTTGATCTCAGCTCATCACCTCTGCCTTCCGGGTTCAAGCAATTCTCCTGCCTCAGCCTCCCGAGTAGCTGGGATTACAGGCATGCACCACCATGCCTGGCTAATTTTGTGTTTAATAGAGAGGGGGTTTCTCCATGTCAGTCAGGCTGGTCTTGAACTCCTGACCTCAGGTGATCTTCCCGCCTCGCCCTCCCAAAGTGCTGGGATTACAGGCATGAGCCACCGCACCCGACCTCATGTACAGTATCTTATGGTATCTTGTCCACTCAGAGGCAAGCAGAAGAAATATTTAGCTCCATTTTATAACTTGATTTCCATTCCACTATTTTCATTGTACTGCAATGTGAGATTAACAATTCCACCCCAAGTATTTTGAGGTGTGGGAAGCTGGATGTAAAAACACCATTAAAAACAACTCTTTTCAATGGCTTCCTAAGGTTGGCTGGGCTGAAATGGCAGTTTCTGGATGCTCCGTGGCACATTACACTGCCCCTTTCTTCATATTTTTAGAAATTAAATCAGCTGATGGCAATATTGAATTCCAGGTAATTTTCTTTTTCTTTTCTTTTCTTTTTTGAAACAGAGTTTTGCTCTTGTTGCCCAGGCTGAAGTGCAATGGCACAATCTCTGCTCACCAGAACCTCTGCCTCCCAGGTTCAAATGATTCTCCTGCCTCAGCCTCCTGAGTAGCTGGGATTACACGAATGCGCCACCATGCCCGGCTAGTTTTTGTTATTTTTTAGTAGAGATGGGTTTCCCCATGTTGGTCAGGCTGGTCTCGACCTCCTGATCTCTCAGGTGATCCGCCTGCCTCGGCCTCTCAAAGTGCTGGGATTACAGGCATGAGCTACCATGCCCAGAGAATTCCAATTTTTATGGTGAATGAATTCCACTCATACTGTTCTTCAGTCTGCCCAACAGATATTACATAACACATTTGTGTGCCATGATGGGCCTTACATATATTGACTCATGTAATTCTCACAACTTTATGAGGTGGTATTAGTCCGATTTTCACACTTCATGAAATTGAGGCACAAAAGTATGTCAGGCCTCTGCTCAAACTGAGTAGTTTTCCTGTCACACTTCAGTGTGGCCTATAGGCCCTAAGTGATCTAGCCTTTTCTTATATTGTCTTCCACTCTCATCCTTGTTCACAGAGCTCCAGCAATTCTCATGTTTGGAGGTCCGCAAGGCAAAACTCAACTTTATTTCCCGTTCCCTTAGTATGGAAAGCTATTTCCCTATCTCTGTGTGTCTTGCTTTTACATCATTGCTCTGCTTTCCTCAAAAACTTTCCCCTTTTATCCCCATCACTGTCCTCATTTTGATTCTTCATATGCATTTATCCTTTCCTGATTTTATACTGTTTATCTTTTTGTGGTTTGTTTTCACCTCTAAAACATAAATTCCATGTGGGTGAGGGCTTTGTTCAGTCCTACTTTCCTAGGCCCTAGAATCAAACCAGTATTGGGTGAGTGGATACTAAATGAAGCTTTACCTAAGTGTTTTGTCTTTTAGTTAGTTTCAGTGGTTAAATCTCAGAAAGCTTAACAGCAATTCTAAGCATGTCTTTATGATAAAAGGTTAAAAACTGTATTATTGGGATAATTTTTCTCTTTTTATTTATGTTTACCTACAAGTCCGTGGAAAGTATACTCAAAAGATAGCAGACCAGGTAGGCTTAAGTTACTTTTACAAAACAGTAGAAATACCTTCAACTATTTAGCACTGATGAACTTACAACTGAGGACATGTCGACTCCACTAAGAAACTAATGATGAAATTCATAATTGGGCATGGTGGCACATGCACCCAGCTACTCAAGAGGCTGCAGCTTGAGTCCAGGAGTTCAAGGCTGCAGGGAGCTATAATCATGCCACTGTACTCCAGCCTGGGAGACAGTGAGAACTTGGCTCTTAAAAAAAAAAAAAAAAAAAAGGGAAAAAAATTGATAATGACAATTTATAATGGTCAGTCCTATCTACCAGTCTAAATGAATGTTTAAAAATTTTCATATACTGCACAGAAGTAGATGCAGTCTTAATGCTAGGTAAGGGTAAACAAGCTGAAATAGCAGCCAGTGACTTCAGAGACCATGAAACCAAAGTTAATCTTCTAAGTCCTTTTAATTGTTCTTATAAACTAGCATAAGATACAAACTTAAGTAGTACACATGAGTTTTATAATTTACTAATCTCTGGCAGATAGCTAAGCATAGCACATCAGAGTGTAACACAGTGTGAGGGAAGTAAAGTATACAATGACATCTTCTATTCTGGACCTACAATTCAATAGAGAAAGAACTACTTGTAGTCACTGTGGTTACAGAAGGTTTCATGGAGACATTGAAGATAAAGCTCTACTTAGTAACAAATAGGTCTTAAATGATAAAAATGTGGGCCTTCGAAGAACTAAAGATACCTATGTGTGGCAGTCCAGAAATTACGAGGAAAATGACTTCCCTTCATGGGTCACATCAGCAATTTTTTTTTTCCCTTTTGAGACGGAGTCTCGCTCTGTTGCCCAGGTTGGAGTGCAGTGGCGTGATCTAGGCTCACTGCAACCTCCGCCTCCCGGGTTCAAGCAATTCTCATGCTTCAGCTTCCCGAGTAGCTGAGATTACAGGTGCCCGCCATCACGGCTGGCTAATTTTTGTATTTTTAATAGAGACAGGGTTTCACCATGTTGGCCAGGCTGGTCTCAAACTCCTGACCTCAAGTGATCTGCTTGCTTCAGCCTCCCAAAGTGCTGTCATCATAGGTGTGAGCCACTGCGCCCAGCTACCTCGTCAATTCTTAATCTATAAACCATGGATAGGCTTCGGGAGGACCCAAGAACCAATGACATCTGTTGGTAAGTTTTATGTGTGCAGTTTTCTACAGAGAGGGTCAACAGCATATATATTTCCAAAGAAGTCTGTGGTGCAAAAGAGTTTATTATGTTAGAAGTCCTTGGGCAATCAACTTGGAAAAGGGTGGATTGAGAATGGGGACTGTCTAGATCAGGAAAATGTTGAATTTGACCCTCACTTGAGGCTTTTGTACAGAGGATGAGAAGACGGCAATTTCAAGGGTTAATTAGAAATTAACACCAACATGACTTGATGAGTGAGATGTGAAATGTGAAAAAAACATCAATGATGAAATCAAGCTTCTGACTTGGCAGCAGTGAGCATACCAAGAGTTTCAGGCTTGGAAGATGAATAAAGTTGGGAGCATTCTGTTTTTTATGAGAGTGCCCATGGGAGGTACAGGGAGAAATGGACAGTTGAAAGTATAAGTCTAGCTAGGCACAGTGGCTCATGCCTGTAACCCTAGCATTTTGGGAGGCTGAGGTAGGAGAATTACTTGGGTCCAGGAGTTTGAGACCAACCTGGGTGACATAGTGAGACCCCATCTCTACAAAAAATAGAATTAGCTCGGCATGGAGCTGCAAGATTATAATCTTTGTTACTCGAGAGGCTGAGGTGGGAGAACTGCTTGAGCCCAGGAGGGAAGGCAGCAGTGAACTGAGATCACGCCACTGCACTCCAGCCTGGGCAACAGTAAGACCCTGTCTCGGGAAACAAAAAAAAAAAAAAAGAAAATACAAGTCTGGAAAAACATAGCTGGGAGCCAGTAATGCCAGTTTTAGCTGAGGGAGTTAAGATTATTCAATCAGTGTTAAGGAAGAAACTCAATAGTAGTGACCACCAATACTTAAGGAAAAAAGGATAAAATAAGAGGAATGATAAAGGCTGGCTGAAATATCTTGGTGTCTAACCTAAGAAAGGAGAGGTTAGGTGTTCATATTTATTAATATGGATCTAGAAAAGCATTTATTCACTAATACATTTTGTGTTCTCTAATTTAAAATTACCTTTTCATTTTGCTTGATTTTCCTTCAGCTAAATTAGAACTTTGTAGTTTTTCCCCTAAAAAATTCAATGGCATTCTCTGATTTTCTTGTCAGCCTGCTTCAAGGAAATCCATGTATTCAAAATGCTTGCTCGCAGTTTGCTCCATACCAAATGGTTGTTTAATCCAAATATCTGAGCAGCAAATTGAGCTGATCCTTCTGGAGAAAGTATGGTTGAACAGCCAAGACCTATTGGTTCAGAAAGGAAAAGACAGAAAATTGAGCTCAATAAATAATGAAAATACAACCTCACAAAAATTTTATACTCAGAGCAGTCCTGCCACAGAAAATAAAAAGCTACTGCATTATTCTAATCTAAAGTAGAATCTCTAGAAGAACTGTCTTTAATACCGGAGTGGTAAAGTGATTATAAGAGGAAAAGCAGTCAGTATTACCTGCCATGAAGAGACATTTTATATATATCATCTATCACCCTTCTTATAGAATTCACTTACAAAGAAACTTACCTTTTTGAAAGTTCTGTTCACATACACTATCCCTTTCAATCCCTGGCGAAGAGCAACTGAAGTAAAATAAGGGTCAAGGTAAGTGGCCAGAAGTACCTGTTCTTAGACAAACTTGAGCTATGTTGTTTTGATAATTTTCTAACTAATCTTTCTGTCTACATTTGAACTATTTTAACATTTTTAAGCAGTAAAAAAAATCAAATCCACAGAATAATTTTAGGAAATGTCAAGTTATAAATAAATATTAATAAGATCCAAGACAGCAGAATAAGAAAGTAACATCCTAGGGGCCACATGTCTGCTCAGGCAGAGTGTCTTGAGGTGGTACTATTATGTCTAGTGTTTGCTAGCAGGGACTATATCCAAAAGCTCCATTTTCCCAGTATTCTTGGAATTCATCAGGCTCTTTGACTACCATTTTCCACAACAAGAACAGTCAAATACAAATCACAAGGCCAATTTACTAATTTGTATTAACACATTATTTTATGGAGCTCCACCCATTACTGTGTGGTATTGGTCAAGTTACTTCATGTTAATTTATTCTCCTCTTCTGTGAGAAGGGAATTGTAACTAGTAGCTACCTGATGTGACACTTCAATGAGTTAATAATATAAAGTGCTTAGAGCATTGCCTGGTACACAATATGTGCTCCAAGAATGTCAACTATTATTGTTAGCACACTGGGTAGAGTGCTCCACTCTAATAGTTGAAATAACCTGTGTCTCCTGCCTAGGACACCCTTTCTGGTAAAAGAATAGCTTAAATTGTAAAAAAAAAAAAAAAAAAAGTTATCTAGTGAGCATGACATCAGAGATGAGAAATATGGGCAGTCTTCAGGATTTTACACAGGTTACTGTAAAACTACTCCTCAAAAGATTCTAGTGATCATTATGTACAAGTCTTCCAGATTATCTGTCACTCCTGAAACGGCACTACTATAAAAATTGCCAATTTTTTGCTCATCATGCTCCCCTTTTGTAAGCTCCATGGATATCTATACAATTCTGGCATAAATTTGGTTACAGCTTTATTTGTAGCTGCCGATTTTTAGCTTGAGACATTTGTATAGTCACATCTTGTTAAAGATAGCTTAGGCACAAAATTTAATTCTCAGAGCCTATAAAAACAGCAAAGGGAATAAAGGAAATGGGCATGAACACACAAGGCCAGATAACAGCAGTAACATTTTGGCAATTGAAAGGCAAATAGAGTAGTAGCTAACTTAGCAGACCAAGAAAATGTAATCAAAATTAGCTGGGCGTGGTGGTGCATGCCTGTGATCTCAGCTACTTGGGAGGCTGCGGCAGGAGAATCGCTTGAACCTGGGAGGCAGAGGTTGCAGTGAGCTGAGATTGCGCCATTGCACTCCAGCCTGGGCAACAAGAGCAAAACTCTGTCTTAAAAAAAAAAAAAAAAAAAAAAAAGAAAAAAGAAAAAGAAAGAAAACTTAATCCTAAACTGAAAGGAGGGAAAGATAAGAAGCAACATGATTGACATTACAGAACTTCCCGAAAGGTTGACTGACTAAATTAGTGGTACTAGATACCTTTAGAAGGGAATAGGGACTAATAAGATGACTGACTCGAAGTCTGAGAAGCAGCTAGGCCCTCATATCTCCTTCTCCACTCCATCTACCCGAGTAACTGCCTCTTTAAAGCACTGTAGCAATTTTTTTCCTTTTTAAACATTATTTTTTTCTGAGACAGGGTCTCGCTCTGTCATCCGGAGTGCAGTGGTGCCATCACGGCTCACTACTGCCTCAACTCCCCAGGCCCCAGTGATCCTCCCACCTTGGCTTCCCAAGTAGCTGGGACTACAGGAGTGTGCTACCATGCCTAGCTAATTTTTGTATTTATGGTAGAGACGGGGTGTTGCCAGGTTGCCTAGGCTGAGCTCAGGCAATCCACCAATCTCTGCCTCCCAAAGTGTTGGGATTATAGGCATGAGCCAACATGCCAGACCTTTAATTTTTCTGAAGGTAAAACAGACTTCCCAGTCTAGGTGTCTTTGAACCAGGGGACACCAGACACTTTTGTTCTCTGAGTAATTCTGGTCAACGCTTAAGAAAATACCTAGACATTAATGTGAGGAGTTATCTGAAGAACAATCACTACCAGATACACCCCACAGTGAAGCCCAATTTTGACACACACCACCCATTTGAAGTTTCCAATTGGTTTTTTATAGTACTCCACTCTTAAAAAAGCAAACAGCCAAGGATTACCAGACAGCTGAAGAAAGTAACTATATGCAACAGACTATAATCATCTTCTCCAGAGAACAAAAAAGAGCTCTTGGAAATTTAAAAACACACAAACACAAACGACAACAACAACAAAAGCCCAGAAAACAAAAACCAAAAGAAATATGAAAACTTCGTGTAAAAAAAACCAGAGACAGTGGTTCCTATCCAATCCCAACACTTTGGGAGGCTGAGGTGGGAAGATTGCTTGAGCCCAGGAGTTCAGGACAAGCCTGGGCAACATACGAAGTGCCCATCTCTACAAAAAGTAAAAAAATTAGCCAGGTGTGATGGTGTGGGCCTGTAGTCGTAGCTACTTGGGAGGCTGAGGTGGGCGGATCACATGAGCCTAGGAATTTAAGGGTCCAGTGAGATATGATCACGCCACTGCGCTCCCACCTGGGCAACAGAGCAAGATCCTGTGTCAAAAAACAAAAACAAAAACACCTGTATCCAAAATGAAGGCCGGGTACAGTGGCTCACGCCTGTAACTTCAGCACTTTGGGAGGCCAGGGCAGGCAGATCACCTGAGGTTAAGAGTTCAAGACCAGCCTGGCCAACATGGTGAAACCATGTCTCCGCTAAAAATACAAAAATCAGCTGGGCGTGGTGGTGCACACCTATAATCCCAGGTACTTGGGAGGTTGAGGCACCAGAACTGCTTGAACCTGGGAGACGGAGGCTGCAGTAAAGCTGAGATTGTGCCATTGCACTCCAGCCTGGGCAACAGAGCCTGACTCCATCTCAAGGAGGAAAAAAGAAAGAAAAACTCAACGAAAGGGCTGGAATGTAAAATTGAGGAAATATTCCAGAGAGTATAGCAACAAGACAAACAAGTAGAATAGAAATCAAGGGAAGCCCAAATTTGAATAAATTCAAAAATGAGAGAAGAGAGAATATGGAGGGGTAAGAAAATTAAATAATTCAAGGAAAATGGGGACTAAGAAATTAGAATTTCAGATTAAAAGAGCCCACCGAAAGTCCATAATGCAAACAGACTCAGCACGTCACATCTGTGTAAAATTTAAGAACAATGAAAACAGACAAAAGATCCTGAAAGTTTCCAGAGAGAAAATTCCTGAGAAACCTAGAATCAGACTGGTGGAAAAGCAATGGAGTCCTCAACTATGGATGCTTGGAGACAGTGGAATAATAATGCTCCCAAAATTCCAAGGCAAAATGATTATCAGCATAGGATTCTAATTTGATAATAAGTATAGGGCTTCAATATAAACATTTCAGATATACAAGGTATCAAAATTTACCTTTTGTATTCTTTTGCCCCTAAGTTCAAGAACGTACTCCAACAAAATAAAAATAAACCAAGTAAGGTGAAAACATGGGAGATCCAAGCCTAGAGAAAGGCAAAATGGGTCTCTAAAATGATGGTAAAGGGGGATCCTAAGACAACAGCAATACAGGATGCCTAGAGAAAAGCCAGTCCACTGGACCAGGTTGGAGGGCTCAAGGACTTAGTATACTTGACATGTATCAAGACTGGATATATACAGCTATGACAAAAGTTAGGGATTTCAGTAATAAAGCAAATCTGCTCCTACTGAAATAATATTGACCCTCATAAACTGCAGAACGTCAGATCATATCTTGGTCTATGATGAACAAACCACAACACGTGATCCAGTTCCATCAGCCAAAAGGGGACTTCCTTATGTTATTATCTTTTATCCCCAATTTTTTATTTTGAGACGGAGTCTCACTCTGTTGCCCAGTTTGGAGTCCAGTGGTGCAATCTTGACTCACCTCCGCCTCCCAGGTTCAAGTGATTCTCCTACCTCAACCTCTGAGTAGCTGGGATTACAGGTGCTCACCACCATGCCCAGGTAATTTTTGTATTTTTAGTAGAGATGGGGTTTCACCATATTGGCCAGGCAAGTGTTGAACTCCTGACCTCAAGAGACCCAGCCTCCCAAAGTGCTGGGATGACAGGCATGAGCCACTGCACCCAGTCTTATCCCCAATATTTAAGAATAAAATTTTATTCTCTCTACAGAAGTAACATGATCACATTTACTTTAAAAAAAACTCAATACCATGAATTCTTGGGAAAAAAATATCCAAACTTGATTTTATTACAGATCTCACCATCAGTTTATAGAAAATATAGGGAATGGAAGAGCATGTTTACCACCACCTAGAAATGTAAGAAGCCAAATCCAAAACGTAGAAAATTCTATCGAAAAAATGAAAGGGAAGAAGGGAGGATGAATTGTTATGTATTAAAAAAATTAAGAGGTTATCAACTAAATGCAATATAAGGACTGCGGTGGATCTGAACAAACAGATGAGACAATTAGAAAACTTGGACACCAACTAAAAATTGTATCTTAAGAAATTACCACTACTCTTTCTGAGGTGTGAATATGGTATTGAAACTGTGTCCCCAGGAATTAAAAGACACCAACAACTAACAGAAATTCTTGAGTTTGCAGAATGGTAGATTAAACAATATGGCCAACTAGAGTCTGCACAGAACCAGCTGACTGATGTCACAGGCCCAATGTCCACCACATTTCATTCTAACTCCCCCAAATTTACACACACGATCCATGAAATAACACGAAGAGATAACTGCACATGCCCAAGGACTTTCTAGACCTCCCCTTTCCTTCCACCAATCACCTACTAATCCCAGAATCTATCCCCTAAACCTTTTCCAGTAAGATTACTGCCATAAAGCCAGCACAGGGGGACAGATTTGAGCTGGACTCATGTGTCCTTATTGGTCAACTTGAAAGAGGAAGCCTTTCTTTCTCAAAAACCTGGTGGCTTAGATAGTACCGGTTTCTAATGCATCAGAAGTGGGCCCCTTTTGTTCTGTAACAACATCATGATTATGATTTAAAAACTAGAGCCCGTATTACTTAAACGTATAATTAAGTATAAATTACTATAACGTCTAAGTTCTGCTTTAAAATAATCCAGCAGGAGATGGCTGTAGACACAAGATGTTAATTGCTGAAGCTACGTCATGGGTACATGAGATTTTATTATGCTATTCTGTCTACTGTTGTGTATCTGTTAAATGCTTGTAATGAACAGTTTTTAAAAATTCAATGTATCTTACCACTGGGCAGTCGAAGAGAAGACCACACATCCTGAGCTCCCCAGTCTGGTGTGAGGGGAGGACAGCTGATAACTGGATATGCAGTGTTCCCAGACATCACTGGTCCCAAACCATTACTTCTGCCTGCCACTGCCACAAATACAGTAGGAATGCCATCCCCTAGGGAAATAACAAGTTTATAGTTATGCTAAACATTCAAAAGAGATTTAAAGACAGAGTTTTTTTGGGGGGGGGGGTTTAAGGCCTATATGTTTTAATGACTTGAGGTCCTTGAATAGTCTTCTCTGAAAAAACATAAAAGACACTATTATTACACATATATTCAAGATATAAGGTTACTCTGCCACTTACTATAAGTCAAGTAATAAAGTAGCTGGAATAGGTTTGGCTGTTTTTGAGATCTACATTATAAAGGGGATAGCAGGGTGTTAGGGAATAGCTCATAGGCCTCTTCTATTGCTGCGTAGGCTGGCCAAAGTGAAGAATGACACCATCTGAACAGGTGTCTTTCCTGACTGGGTGGTCCGTCAACCGGTGCAGGGAGACCAGTTAATATAGACCAGGGGTTTAGGAACACGTCCTGAAGCAAGAGTTGAAGGAAAGTTTAATTAATATAGTGTCCTCAAATTTTTAAGGCCCTTTGATATATTTTTTAACATAATCTCTTAAGCAATTCATTCTTTGATAAATTTATAAATTATCCTTGCTTGTTTCCTAAAGCAGAGATTTCTAACCTAGAATCCAAAATTATATGTATTTGCAATTTTCTGAAAAGAGTTCTAGAATTCATTAGCTATCAAAGAAGTCTGAGTTCCCCCAACCTCCCACTCTTCCCAAATTAGTAACTACACTTCCATAGCAACGACCTGTAGATGAAATAATCAACTTTTTTTTCCAGTTGAGAAACATTTGGTTGTAAACCCAGGACTCCACTATTTTAGATCACTGCTATACCATTATTTTTTATGTACTGTATTCTGAAACTGTTCCTTAATTTCCTATCTGACTGCCTCCCAGGAAAGGGTGGCAATTAAAGATTCGCAGGAGAACCTGCTGTTTCAACCTCCCACCTCCTGTAACTGTGGGGGCCTTTTTCTATTGGAGCGTTATTAGAAGCAATGCTCCAGGGCCTTCTTACCAGGTAAGGATGGCAGAGGTTCTCATTATTCTAGTCTTTGTTTTCTTTTCATACTTGCATTTTTAATTCTTTCTCCCTGCTCCTTTCTTTTCTAAGCTCCTAGAATACCTTAAGCTCTTTGGAGGTGAGCATTAAGAAAGAAAGCCTAGTAGCCGGCCGTGATGGCTCATGCCTGTAATCCCAGCACTTAGGGAGGCCAAGGTGGGTGGATCATGAGGTCAGGAGATCAAGACCATCCTGGCCTTGAAACCCCATCTCTATTAAAAATACAAAAAATTAGCCGGGCGTGGTGGCGGACGCGTGTAGTCCCAGCTACTCAGGAGGCTGAGGCAGGAGAATGGCGTGAACCTGGGAGGTGGAGCTTGCAGTGAGCTGAGATGGCGCCACTGCAACTCCAGCTTGGGCGACAAAGCGAGATGCCGTATCAAAAAGAAAAAGAAAAAAAGAAAGCCTAGTATATCATGTGTTTTTCCCTTAGAAAAGTGACAAAGCTCTTTTTCAGCATTATTAGTCTAAGTGTGTAATTTCTTTTAGCAAAATCAGAAATACCTGAAATGTCCATATTACTTGTGGTTTACCTTCATACTCAGCTTTAATCCTCAGGGTTTCATCTGGTCCTTTATGCGCAGATGCTACTCGAAGTTCACATGGAATGCCAAAATTTCCACAGGCCTTCTTGATTTTTTCACAGTGACCAAGATCAGAAGTAGAGCCCATCAACACTACAACCCTGCACTGACTTTCTGATTTCAAAAGCAACTGAAGAAAAAATACATGGATATGAAAAGAACATAAAAACAAAAATGAATAAATGAGCTAGAGTTTGTAGTGAAATTACATCTGGGCACAATATTTTCTTTCTTAACAGATCAAATTTAAGACAGAGACAAACATAACAAAAAGACAGCATTTATTTTTTAAAATAATCTCAATATATAAAGGAAAGTGGTCTTCATCATTAAGACTTAAAGAATTCAATTTTTATGAGACAAATTATGTTTATTTAACAGTAAAGATACTCAAAATCTTTTAATTAATATTCAGGAAATTATAATACAAAATATTTCATCCTAAGACCTTTAGTGCACTTTGTTTAATGGATGCTTTTCTTTTCTAAGCTCCTAGAGTACCTTAAGCTCTTTGGAGGTGAGTATTAAGAAAGCCTAGTGGCCAGCAGTGATGGCTCACGCCTGTAATCCCAGCATTTTGGGAGGCCAAGGCATACTTCTGATTAGCCAAATCAGAAGTCATGTTTTAAGTCTTTGTAAGTTAATTGCTTGGAACTCAAAATATATATATTCCTATGAGAATAATGTTCTCAAATGTGATTATGACCCTTGCATAATCACAAACCCCATTCAACTCCCAGAATTAGAGTAATACCATAAAACTTAAAGTAACATTTAAAGCCACACAGAGTTCCATCCATCCCATGCTAATAGAACTCTGAGTAGCTGTGGAGGTGAGTAGGAAATATAAGGTTTCTCCTGCGGAGTAGGGAGGAGACAGATTTCAGATTTCCCCAACAGGATCTGGGAGGTGTGTATTGGCCAGCTTAACAGCAGGGAGTTCCAGTATACTAGTAAGGATTGCCCAGCTGATACATTTCCTAAAAGTGTTCCTCACTTTCAAAGTCACTGGAAAGCCGGGCGCGGTGGCTCACGCCTGTAATCCCAGCACTTTGGGAGGCTGAGGCGGGCGGATCACGAGGTCAGGAGATCAAGACCATCCTGGCTAACATGGTAAAACCCCATCTCTACTAAAAATACAAAAAATTAGCTGGGCATGGTGGTGGGCACCTGTAGTCCCAGCTACTCAGGAGGCTGAGCCAGGAGAATGGCATGAACCTGGGAGGCGGAGCTTGCAGTGAGCCGAGATCGTGCCACTGCACTCCAGCCTGGGTGACAGGGCGAGACTGTGTCTCCAAAAAAAACTAAATAAAACAAAGTCACTGAAGAGAAAAGCACTATACTCTCCCATTTTTTTCTTTTGAAACAAGATTTTCTTAGAAGAAAAACACATAATACATAATACAGTACAGTTTCACTATAGAAGGTTTACCTCTACTTTCTCTGCAACCCACTCAAAGTTTTTCTTTACCATTTGGAGCCCTTCAGGAGTTACTTCTTTGAGGTCCCGATAAGACTAGAAAATAAGATAGAAAGTTTAGAAAACAAGTATGTCTTGCTACCTGAAACTATCTGGTTTCTGAGTTTTGGGGAGGGATTATGAAGAGCTTGTATAGCAAGGGATACTTCTGAAAATGCATCTTTTCACTTCCTGAATTAAACTATAGAAAGTTCCATAGTAAAGTATACTTTTATTTTCTCTTAAGGTTAAGTGTTTTCTGTAGTAGCAACTACAATTAACTGCCTTGAGAATTTTTATATATTAGGTATAGAAAGGGTCTTGCTCTAATTTGGTTATTTTTTATTTTAAATACATGTGCAGAATGTGCAGGTTTGTTACATAGGTATACATGTGCCATGGTAGTTTGCTGCACCATCAAGCTGTCATCTAGGTTTTAAGCCCCGTATCTGTTAGGTATTTGTCCTAATGCTCTCCCTCCCGTTGTTCCCCATCCTGCAAGAGGCTCCGGTGTGTGTTGTTCCCCTCCCTGTGCCCATGTGTTTTCAGTGTTCAACTCCCACTTATGAGCGTGAATATGTGGTGTTTCGTTTTCTGTTCCTGTGTTAGTTTGCTGAGGATGATGGCTTCTAGCTTCATCCATTTCCCTGCAAAGGACATGATCTCATTCTTTTCTTTTTCTTTCTTTTTTTTTTTTTTGAGACAGAGGTTCACTCTATCAACCAGGCTGGAGCGCAGTGGCACGATCTTGGCTCACTGCAACCTCTGCCCCCTGGGTTGAAACAATTCTCTGCCTCAGCCTTCCGAGTAGCTGGGATTACAGGCGCCCACCACCATGCCCGGCTTATTTTATTTTATTTTATTTTTAGAGACAAGGTTTCACCATCTTGGCCAGGCAGGATGGTCTTGAACTCCTGACCCTGTGATCCACCCACCTTGGCCTCCCAGAGTGCTGGGATTACCGGGGTGAGCCACCGCGCCTGGCCAATCTCATTCTTTTTTATGGCTGCATAGTATTCCATGGTGTGCATGTACCACATTTTCTTTATCCAGTCTATCACTGATGGGCATTTAGGTTGGTTCCATGTCTTTGCTATTATAAATAGTGCTGCTCCTGTGCACGTGTCTTTACAGTAGAATGATTTATATTCCTTTGGGTGTATACCCAGTAATGGGATTGCTAGGTCAAATGGTATTTCTGGTTCTAGATCCTTGAGGAATCACCGCACTGTCTTCCACAATGGCTGAACTAATTTGCATTCCCACCAACAGTGTAGAAGTGTTCCTATTTCTTCACAGCCTCTCCAGCATCTGTTGTTTCCTGACTTTTTAATAGCAGCCATTCTGACTTGTGTGAGATGGTATCTCATTGATGTTTAGGTTTGCATTTCTCTAATGATCACTAATGATGAGCTTTTTTTCATGTTTGTTGGCTACATAGATGTCTTCTTTTGTGAAGTGTCTACTGTTTTTTATAGGAGCAGAAATGGAGCCTGGTAATATCCAGGAGACTTGGGATAGAGTCCCAGATCTGCCTGACTCTAGTAATTGTGAAGATACCCATTCTCTTAAGACCCTTAGTTTTCATTTAGCCAAAGATAGTACTTGCTGTTATTGTTGTGAGAAGGTTATTAAGGTAACAGATGAGAAATTTGCTTTATAAATGTAAAGTAGTATTCCTATTATTCTTATATTAAGATACCGGAGATATTTCTCTTTAAAAATAAACAGCAATCAACAAAACAGGTTCCTATCATTAGGAACAATAATTTGCTTTTTCCCCTCATCTCTCCTTTCTCCTCTATCTCAGCTTGACCTCAAAAAGGATAAAAAACCTGACGCATTATTTACCTGTTTGTCTTTCTGTTGGCTTCGATCACCTGATGGCCAGAGTCTCCAGGAATCATTGTCAATAACATCAGCAAGAACAATTTCTTTGGTGGTTACATCAACACCAAATTCAATCTGGAAACAGCATGTCAACAAAGTTTTCAAAAACTATTCTATGAAAGCATCTCTCAACTCTAACCTTTACTTTCAAATCCCATTGTTTTATCTGTACCTTCATATCAACCAGTGTACAATTCTGGGGCAACCAGGATTTCTCCAGTATTTCAAATATAGCCTGTGTAGCATGACTCATGATATCCACTTCAGTTTGGCCTATAAGAAGTCCAGCGAAGCAAAGTTTTGCAGCAATCAGCTGTTCCTCAGACCACTGTGGGTCATTATTGGCATCATCCTGTGAATAAAGTATAGTAGTATAATTAACTTAAATCTAAAATTTTTAAACTTTTCAGAAAAACCAACATCCTTTTCACCTTGAGCATGAACTCCTTAGAAATTTTCAGCAACGGCTGGGCATGGTAGCTCACGCCTGTAATCCCAGTGCTTTGCGGGGGCTGAGGTGGGCGGATCACAAGGTCAGGAGTTTGAGACCAGCCCGGCCAACATGGTGAAACCCTGTCTACTAAAAATACAAAAAATTAGCTGGGTGTGGTGGTGCACACCGTAATCCCAGCTACTCAGGAGGCTAAGGCAGGGGAATCATTTAAACCCGGGAGGCAGAGGTTGCAGTGAGCTGAGAGGGCGCCACTGCACTCCAGCCTAGGCACAGAGGGAGATTCCGTCTCAAAAAAAAAAAAAAGAAAAGAAAGAAATTTTGAGCCAGGTGCAGTGGCTTACACTGTAGTCCTAGTAATTTAGGAGGCTGAGGCAGGAGGATTGCTTGAGCCTAGGAGTTCAAGAGCAGCCTAGGCAACAAAATGAGACATCTAAAGAAATTTTTTATTTACGATACTCCTTAATTCAAAGCAATTATTACTCCTTTGTTCTTTTTTTCCTAGTTAGCTCCTGCAAGCAGAAAGAACTATTACTCTTAATTTGTCTACTCTCAATAGCACTTTAAAATTCAAAGTATTTAGGTGAGTAACTTATTCTAGGTCACAAAGTATTTCAAAGAATTTAACCTCTATAAACAAATTTAAACAGAATTTAAGTTTGTGGTTTTTGCTTTTCCTTAGTAACAGTCATCAGACATGACAGGAAGGTCAAAGCACATTTTAATCAATCAAATCTTTCCAAAACTACAGTTCTCATAACTTCCTGACCTCACTTTTTATTAGAATTTATACAGGACTATAATTTTTTAGGGACATTATTTGATAATTCAAGAGACCTCAAAGAGGTAAGTGAAAAAAATGAAATAATTTCATTTTATTCTAAGCTGTGTCCCAACTTTATATGACAGTATCTTTATAAACTCTACATCTATATAATCATAATACACAAGTAATATAACTTACTGATTAAAAAGCAACACTGATAGTGCTTCCCAAGCAGATCTATGCTTAACAGCATAAATGAAGATGGTTAAAGCAGTAAAGCCTATAAAAATTCATAACCACTGATTCTTACAACCTTTATTTATATATTTTTACTTACAAGAGACATTGTTAGTATAGTTTTCCTGTATTAGAATATAAAAAGATTTCAACTAAATTTTTAAAAAATTAACTGTTAGTTTTCTTGTCCTCCTATTAGTCATCTTGGTTCAAAGGTAAGATTTTCAGATGCTTTCTTTATAAAATTTGATCTATCATTGCTAATGGAAGTGTACATTATTGATATTGGCAACTAGATAAGACAAATTTTGGGATGATATTTGTAATATCAAAATATCAAAAACTTTGCTTGAATATTTAAACCTTTAGAGTTTCTAATTATAAATTTATTGCCGTGTTACAGTAAGACATAAAATGGAGGCATAAGATAATTACCTTGAAAAACAACTCCACTTTAGGTGGGTAAAACTTATATCCTTCCTTGACACCAGGATTTCTTTTGAGAAAAGAACCAGTTGCTATTCTTCTGCAAACCCATTCAATTGGAATCATTTCACACTGGGGTGCAATGAAAGCTGTCTCCCCACATTTTCTGGTGAAGGCAGTTTTAATACCTACATATTGATAACCAAAGTTAAAAAAGGTATTGAAATAATATGTAAAAAGGTAGATCTGAGGCACAATAAAATTCTACCCTTTACAAGAAACAAAGAACCTCTATCAAAAATAAGTGTAATTTTTTTTTTAATTTAATGTAGATGCAGTCAGTTGTTGACTCAAACAGTAAGCAGCACATGACTATACATAAAATGTATTGTTCAGCCATAAAAAGGAATGAAAATTCGTGATACATCCATGCTATATAATACAGATGAAGCTTAAAAACACTAGGCTAAATGAAAAACACAAAATGCAAAAGGACAAACACTTGTGATTCGACTTACATGAGGTAACCAGAATAGGGAAATTCGGACAGAAAGAGAATGGAAGTTACCAAGGGCTGAGGAGTGGAAGGAATAGTTATTGTTTAATGCTACACAGTTTGTTTGGGATGATGAAAAAGTTCTGGAAGTGGATAATGGGATGAGTGTACAACATTGTGAATGCACATAATGCCACTGAATTGGACACTTAAAAATGGTCAAACTGGTAAATTTTATGTATATATAACAATTTTCTTTAAAAAAAAATCAGGAGCCTATTTGATGGCAGATATTGTTCTAATCATTTTAAATACATCTTTTTTGTTTAATTCTCCAAACATTTCATAAGATACTATTAAGATCAACCCAACAAAACAGGTAAGGACACTAACACACAGCAGTAATGTCAGCTAGTATTAGGTAAAGCAGGATTTCCAACCTACCCTGTCTCTAGGAGCCACCCACTTAACCACTTTGCCATAATGCCTCTCTGGGAAGTGTTATTACATCACAGTACAAAGTAATGCTACAGCATTAACATGAATTAAAATAACTCCTGGAAACCTACATGGGTTTGAGATAATGCTCATTTTCAGCCTGCATTACTATTTCCAATCCCAACCTAATCCTCTAGTCTAACTTTTATTATCAGGAAAGAATTGGGGATCTTTGCTGTTATATGTGTATCCATACATGAAGGGAGCTTCTATTTATGGAAACCCTCCACTGTGCTAAGTGTTTTGTATATGTTGTTTCATTTAACTGTGCATAAAATTTTGAGGTAGGTTTTTTTTTTTTTGAGACAAAGTGTCACCAAGGCTGGAGTGCAGTGGCGTGATCTCAGCTTACTGCAACCTCTGCTCCTGGGTTCAAGAGATTCTCCTGCTTCAGCCTCCTGAGTAGCTGGGATTACAGGCATGCACCACCACGCCTGGCTAATTTCTGTATTTTTAGTAGAGACAGGGTTTCATCATGTTGGTCAGGCTGGTCTCGAACTCCTGATCTCGTGATCCACCCACCTCAGCCTCTCAAAGTGCTGGGATTACAGGTGTGAGCCACCACGCCCAGCCTTGAGGTAGGTATTATTATTTATACATTTTACAGTGAAAAAAACAGAGGTTCAAAGAAGTAATTTCACACAGTAGGTCATGTAGCCATTTGGTAATGGAGCCTGGACTTGAAACACACTGTCCAAACCCTACACTATTTCCTCTGCCTTCCCTTTAAATCTGACTCATAAGATTGAAATGAAAAAGGGAAAGAATTGTGGTATGTTGCATGAACAGAAACCCTAAGGAAAAAATGAAAAGGGGTAAGTAAAATTGTCATTTTAACCTTTTTTTTAAAAAAAAAAATTAGATGTAAGCTGTTGTTTAACTTTTAATGAATGATCAGGCTCATGGATAGACAGGTGACTTTAATCAATTCTCAACTTGGGGTAGTAACTACATCGTTGGCTTCAAGAGCTCTTCTCTCTTAGGTCTGTTAATCATTAGTCATATATTTGCTCATTTGTCTACCAAGCTGGACATAGTAGTATCCAATTCTATTGTTACCATAAAGATACCAAAGAGAACCAAAAGCACATAATGAAGCTACGGTAATCACCTCTGCACCAAAAAACCCTAAAAGTTTCTAAAAGAGACTCAGTTTAGATGACACAATGATGGCTTCTAATACTGCTAAATATGAAAGCAAATTCCATGACTGTGCATGGTGAGAAAAAATTCCCATTGTTTATCTTAGTTGTCTACAAAACTCAAAACTCTCATTCAAGTTACTAAAAAATGTTTATGTCACTTACACACTCTGAATGACAATGAACATATATAAGCTAGAATACTAATTCTAGCTAATACATATGTCCCTGTGGCCGTCCCTCTTTTAGATCGGTCCAGATTCCTATCTGCGGTTTAGCAACTGTAGTATGGTTCTTCATATACTATTATCACACTTTATGTAATTATAGTGAATTTCTGCGAGGAAATTGGGATTTCATCATCACTGAGAAGGCCAGATTTTAATTTTTAAGTAATAAAACCAAATCCACAAATTGTATAACATAGTTATGGCACAGTTATACTATTTCCATGGAAAAAGATTACTTCTTATTCATATAGTCCTTTACTGTTTGTTCCTGAGTGACAATCAGAAAAGTAGAATCCTGATTTTCTGATTCTCATCCCGATGCTCTTTCCCCTCTACTTTCTACCTTAATTTGGAACATAACTCTGGTTGTAAACAACAGTTTTAAATAGACCACTGATGGCCAACTAGATGAGGCATTTATATGACTAAGCAAGTAAAAATTACATAAGGTTTAATGGAATTCCTAATATGTACCCTAAAACTAGTCTGTTTAGAAATTTTAAAAAATTCAGGTTTACTTAGTTTCACAGTACTAGACATAAAACCTGGAAAATATCTTTCAACATTTTCTGTGAACCAATTAAGTTTCAGCTATGTTAAGTGCCAAATAAAGTAGTTTAAAGATAATTATTGGAGTATTTCATTTAGGTAGCCTTCCCTGTTCCCCTGAGCACAAGACTCTCAGAGTTAAAACAGAGAAAGTCCTGGACAAACATAACACAACTGAGTCACTCTAATTTACTTGTTATAAAGTTCTGGAAATGGATAATGGGATGAGTGTAAATACACTCAGAAAATACACTAAATAAGCAAATAAAAAGTCGGGCTTTATCTTCCATTACTTAATATAATCCTGTAGCTATGTGAAACTACCAAGGGTACACAGAAAATAATCTTCTGACTGCTAACATTTTAAAGAGTTAAGCACTTTAAAAAATGTTTAAGTGAATGGAGAGAGTTAAAACTTGGGAAGCAAAAAAAAAATTGATGGAACAGGCCGAGTACAGTGGCTCACACCTATAATCCCAGCACTTTGGGAGGCCAAGGCGGGTGGATCACCTAAGGCCAGCAGTTCAAGACCAGCCTGGCCAACATGGCAAAACCCTGTCTCTACTAAAAATACAAAAATTAGCCAGGTATGATGGCGTGCACCTATAACTGTAATCCCAGCTACCTGGGAGGCTGAGGCATGGGAATCGCTTGAACCCAGGAGACGGTGGTTGCAGTAAGCCAAGATTGTGCCACTGCACTCCAGCCTGGGCAACAAGGCAAGATTCTGATTCAAAATAAATAAATAAATAAATAAAATAAATAAATAGATGGAACACTTATCTGTATTGCAAAAGGAACCTAAAATTAATTTGATGCTCTCTTTAGAAATTACCTCAGTCATTGGGAAGCTACCAATCAAGAAACCTTGAAATAAAAATCTTAGATTCTGTGACTTAGAAACTCTGGAAGATCCTTTAAATTTATAGCAATATACTTACTTTCACAGCACAGAGGGATTTATGATGTAGATGACAATCCAGGTTTGCAATTAAATCTTTTTCACATTAGCCAAAATTGTGAAATAGGATACTTTGGAAGAGACAAAACTACTCCAGAAATGCACTGACAATGTATTTAAATTACATTACCTTGTTATTTTGTGTAAGGCAGTTACATCTAACTTAACTGAAAACAAAAGCATTAAATTCCCTTTTGAATTTAAGAAAGATTAGTGCTACTAGAAACTCTAAGAAATGAAAGGGCAACTGGGAATATTGGAATTAAAAGGAAAGTTATTAAATTATAAAATTAGAACTGGCAAGCATGAGAAAGAAAAAGCTTTTATTTCATAGGTAAGGCTTCAAAGGTTGAATGATCCAAAGCAATGAGGCTATTTACATTGTGCGGAAAGAGTTCAAATCTTTTCCTAGCTGAAATTTCATATACTACAGACCAACCAGCAACTGACTGAATCCCTCCAGGAAACCCCTTTATCCTAATTTCCTTCCCTTTGCTTCAAATACCCACCACACAATGTTCTGATCTTCCTGTGGTCTTTTGAATCTATTTCTCTATTGAAAATAGAGCCTTCAATCAGTTTTTGAACAGGAGGGTGCTCTGGGGTTTTAGTTCAAATCTCTCACTTGGGGAATGGCAGGAGGAGAAGGTTTGGTTGCTGTCTTCAACTACTTTTCAGGGCTTTCAAGTGGAAGAGGAATTTGAAATTCTGTATTATTTCCCAGAGGCAGAACAAAGACCATTTGTATAGAATTACAGGGAGTAAATTTCAGTTCATCTGTTAGAACTGCTTAACATTAAAATGGGTTTCCTTCATAGTCAAATTCCTTAAAGTGAAGATGGCCTTGGAGAGGTAAGCTGCATAGAGAGTGCATGTGCCAGATATAAGATTACAGCAAACTTGTTAAGATTCCTTTTAATTCAATGACACTAATAACCCCAAACCAAATAAGGTGTTAAGAGTGAAGTTTAAGAGTTCTTGGTTTGATTTAAATTCACTTAGCTTTTGAAACATCTGCAAACAAGTTGTTCATCTTAATGCCAACTTCACTTGAAAGACATCAACATGCTTACCAGAGAAAGTGAGAGACAGCTTTAAGAGAGCTGCTTACCTGCTTCCTGTAACAACTGAAAAATACAACTCGTGATTTTATTTGAGATTGCAGCTTTTCCTTCCAGGTGATTCTTTCTAGCTGCATTTCCTGCTGTAATCTGGTCCTTGGACTGCAGGAGGACTTTTCCTGGGCTGTCTAACAATTCGTAGACTTCTTTTGTTTTACCTTCATACAATTTTTTACCAATGTTCAGTACTGTGGAAATAAAATGGAAATAGATCAAAATTCAGAAAGAAATTTCCTGAATGCTGAAGACTAAATCACCTAGAACAATGAATCTGTAAATAATACAGTGATTAAGGAATATTAATAAAAATTAAATCGTCTGTATAAAACCATATACTCTACAATGTATTTCTTGTATCATCACATTTGATACACACAATTTTGTGAAGAATTTTAATTACATAAATAATTGTAGAAATTAGTAAAGCAGAAATCAAAAGGGTTGAGGGTCATGCAGTTAGGAAATATAAGAGGTAGATAAAATCCTAACTCCTCTGACATCAAATCCTGTGCTCTTTCCGTTATTAACCTGCCTCTCACGGTGGAACTGAACTAGAATTAAAATTAATTAAGACACATTTCAAGTAATGTAACTATACTAATATTTTCACAGACACACTCACAATATAGTATCTAAACTAGCTTGCAGGAAAAAACATGCGATTTTTGCTGATATTTGCTTTTTTGCAGGCAAAATGGGAACATTCAGCCAGATGGGTTTCTTGATTTCAAGTTAATATTCAAGAGGAGGCATGACATCCCACTGAAGTTAGCACATTTGGAAGCATCCCTCTCTATTTCTTAATCCTGTCCCTGTCCCCATTAATCCTTTCTCTTCACTAACAGTTGTAAGAAATTGTGAGGAAGTGAGCACAAAGGAATCCAATTTTGATGCTGGTCACAAGACCTAAGAAGTACACAAAAGGATGATTTAGAGAAAGAGTAAAGATAATAGATGTTTAGGAACTTAAAATTTCCAAAGAGAGAAATCAGCCCTCATGCTCTCAGAACACTCTCAGTATCAACATTTTCCTAATGTATCCATGTGCCAAGGGATATACCAGTAAATAATAATTCCTGCTCTCAAGAGACCTGAGTCTGAGGGGAGCTGATATTAAGTAAGACATCATAATAACAGAATGTAATAAATACAGACTATGGGACTAGTCTAAACATTAGAAAAGGAAGTCTACAAGAAAGTGACAGGTTGAGATCTGAAGAATGATCAAAATTTAGCCAAAGGAGAGAAAAGGGTAGGTAGTGTTGATGAATAAATACAAGGTGGTCAAAGTGGATTGCAGAACTTCAGTCTGGTTGGAGCTGGAGGTCTGGGTATATGTACATTGCTGTTGGGCAGGGGAAGGGGTGGGGGCTGCAGCTAAGTTGTAGAAAAGAATGGCAGGAGACAAGACTTAAGAGTTGGACAGGGGCCACATCACCAGCTAGTGGAGATAACCATTAAACAAAGTAGGTATAATTTAGTTAACAGTTGCCATTGTAGGGCACCTAATCTAGAGGATGAATCCCTATTCTCCCTAAGGTAACGTCTAGACTCATTAACATGGTTTAAAAGTCCCTTTAAGATACAGTCCTGGCTTACTGCTCCAAATTCTTATTTGTCTATTTCCTCACTAGAACTCCAACATCTTTAATTCTTACACAACCTTCCTCCTAGGGCTTCTGACAATCTCTTCTCTCCTAGGCCTGGAAAATTTCCCTTCCATTTTGTTACACATCCTTCTGGTTTCACAAGCCATACTGATTCAGTTTAGACTTTAACCCAAGAAGAGCTATAAGGATTTTAAGCGATGAAGCAAAACGGTATTTGGAAAGATCATTATGGCTTCTGTATGGACAATGAAGGGAGGAAGGGGTGAGTGAACAAAAACTAGAGCTTGGGAGACCAGTTAGGATGCTGTTGCAGTAACTTGAACAAGAAACGTCTGGCCAGGTGCAGTGGTTCACATCTGTAATCTCAGCACTTTAGAAAGCCCAGGCAGGCAGATTGCTTTAGCTCAGGAGTTCAAGACCAGCCTGGGCAACATGGCAAAACCCCATCTCTACCAAAAAAACAAAAATTAGCCCAGCATGGTGGTATGTGCCTGTAGTCCCAGCTACTTGGGGAGGTCGAGGCTGCAGTGGGCCAAGATCTGTGCTATTTCACTCAAGCCTGGGTGATAGAGTGAGACCCTGTCTCCAAAAAAAAAAAAAGTGGGGGGGAAAAAGAAATGTCTTGGTCTAAGGAAAGAGTAGTGGGCAAAGATGCAAGATATTTAAGATAGTAGCTTTGAGAATTCAGCATGGAGGATAAGAGAGGGAAGAGTAGAGAACAGTGGGCCGGACACAGTGGCTCATGCCTGTAATCCCAGCACTTTGGGAGGCCGAGGTGGGCGGATCACTTGAGGTCAGGAGTTCAAGACTAGGCTGCCCAACATGGTAAAACCCCGTCTCTACTAAAAATACAAAAATTAGCTGGATGTGGTGGTGTGCACCTGTAATCCTTGCTACTCGGGAGGCTGAGGCAGGAGAATCCTTGAACCTGAGAGGTGGAAGTTGCAGTGAGCTGAGATGGCGCCACTGCACTCCAGCCTAGGCAACAGAGGGAGACTGTCTCAAGAAAAAACAAAACAAAAAACAAAACAAAAAACACAATGCCCAGATCAGATAAAGAAATTAACATTTATGTGTATTAATATGCAGTAAGCCCGGGCAAAGTTTGTATCTAATGCCCCTCGCCTTAATTTAGTTGAATCTGTATTACTTAGCCATTAAATAGGGAAGGAATTTCAATTTCAATTAATAGGTAGAAACAACACAAGAAACGACGATACGTGACATACACAAGTGCCAAAATGATTGCTATAAATTTGCAGATGAATTCAGAAAAGATTGATGAGGACTGAAAAATGATTCATGGAATTGAAATTTAAGAGTCTGGGAAAGCACAGAATTTACACAAAGGAGAAGAAAATTCTAGGACTCTGCTGTCCAATAAGGCAGCCACTAGAAATGTGGCTATTACAAGTTGAGATGTGATTTGTTAAAATATACACTGCATTTGTTATAAAAAATTGCAAAATATCTAAACAATTTTTCATCTTGCCTCCATGTTGAAATGTATTTTGTGTATATAGAGCTAAATAAAATATATTAAAATGGGCTCATGCCTGTAATCCCAGCACTTTGGGAGGCCAAGAAAGGCGGATCACTTGAGGTCAGGAGTTTGAGACCAGCCTAGCCAACATGGCAAAACCCTGTCTCTACTAAAACATAAATTAAAAAAAAAAAATTGGCCAGGTGTGGTGGAGCGTGCCTGTAATTCCAGCTACTTGGGGGGCCAAGGCAGGAGAATCACTTGAACCTGGGAAGTGGAGGGTGCAGTGAGCTGAGATCTTGCCACTGTACTCCAGCCTGGGCCACACAGAGCGAGACTCCATCTCAAAAAAAAAATATATATATATATAAAAAAAAATACATTGCATCAGTTTTTTTATTATTTTAGTTTTTAAAATGTGGCTCATAGAAGACAAATTTACATTATATTTCCGTTAGCCAGCAATGTTCTGGGAAAAATAATATAAATAAAATGTATATAATGAAAAACAAACTTTGGTGATTTAACCTGACTGGAACATAGCTAAGGATTCACAGGAGAGAAAAGTCAAAGTTAAGGCTGAAGAGGTAGAAAGGACAGCAGTATTCAGGATTTGAATGAAAAGGAATTTCAGACTGGACAGACTGGATTTAACATCTCTAGAGATGTCATTGTAACACTTTGCCTTTTAGAGATCATAAAAGTGACATTTTAGAGATCATAAAAGTGACATTTAAGAAAAATCAACCTGCCAACGGTACACAAATGGAAAGAAGTGGAAGAGCAAAGATTTTAGAGATTTGCCAGTTTAGAGGTACCATGATTTCAAGAAAAATTCTGGTCCTTGCCTTGAGTTTAGGGAGTTGATACTCCATATCATCTGAATCTTTTTTGCTGAGTCTACAGTTGTTTTTTTTTGTTTTGTTTTGTTTTGTTTTGAGATGGAGTCTCTTTCTGTCGCCAGGCTGGAGTGCAGCGGCGGGATTCTGGCTCACTGCAACCTCTGACTCCCCTGTTCAAGTAAGTGATTCTCCTGCCTCAGCCTCCCGAGTAGCTAGGATTACAGGCATACGCCACCATGTCCAGCTAATTTTTGTATTTTTAGTAGAGCCGAGGCTTCACCATGTTGGCCAGGATGGTCTCGATCTCCTGACCTCGTGATCCGCCCGCCTCGGCCTCCCAAAATGCTGGGATTACAGGGGTGAGCCACAGCGCCTGGCCTGAGTCTACATCTTTTTAAAATCTAAATACAGTTACTTTCTATGTGGAAAAGAATGTACCCAGCAGCCAAGAAAAGCAATTTGGCTCATTATACATATAGCAACTGGATGTGTGGAATAAACCAACGTTTTTTTCCAGCATAAATAGCAAGAACAATCTTTCCTGATAGTGTAACTTTTTTGCCTAAAGGTTTTGGAGTTCTTCAAAGCCATCATGGCATCAAAGACTACTTGAACGAACACACACACACGGACGCACGCCATCATGGCATCAAAGACGACTTAAAAACACCCCCCTCCCCAGCCATCATGGACTCAGACAACTTCAACACGCGCGCGCGCGCGCACACACACACACACCCAAGCTGCCGTGGCATCAAAGACTACTTCAACACGCGCGCGTGCACACACACACACACATCCATGGCATCAAAGACTAAACACACACACACACCATTGCATCAAAGACTACTTACACACACACACCCTAGACAGGTTCTTTTTTTTTTTTGAGACGGAGTCTCGCTTTGTCGCCCAGGCTGGAGTGCAGTAGCGCGATCTCGGCTCACTGCAACCTCCGCCACCGGGTTCTAGCGATTCTCCTACCTCAGCCTCCAGAGTAGCTGGGATTACAGGCGCGCGCCACCACGTCCGGCTACTTTTTTGTATTTTTAGTAAGAGACGGGGTCTCGCCATGTTGGCCAGGCTGGTCTGGTACTCCTGACCTCAGGTGATCCGCCCGCCTCGGACTCCCAAAGTGCTGGGATTCCAGGCGTGAGCCACCGGGTCCGGCCTCTAGACAGGTTTTTCAAAAGTTTCGATTATTAATCTTAGAAAGGTCATTAACCTAACGGACAAAGCAAGACTCAGGTTTTGACGAATCAACACTGATTTGCTTGTATTTTGCAACAGCTATTGATTATAAATAATGCTTCCAGGCGCCTTTCCACCCCTTGGTCATTTCTCGTTCTCCTCTACTTTGCTCCTTCTCCCCATCCCGGAGGCAGTAAAGTTCGGGGAGGCCCGGGAGCGCCTGGGCCACGTGTGCGCCCGCACGGCGGCCTAGAGGCGCGGCTGCAGGGAGGCCGGGCAGAGCTTCGCAGCCCGCCCGTGGCCGCGAGCTCACAGCGAGCTCACGGCCTGGGGGTCAGGAAGACCGCTAAGGACCCAGAACCCTGTTACTCACCCTCAGCTGTCGCCATTATCCTGAGTGGGCTGAGGACTGCGACCGCGCCGGGAAGCAAGGCAGAACTCTAGAAAAGAGGGGTGGTCAGAGAGCTTCGCTGGGCGGGGAAGGAGGCGCGGCCCACAGACACGCCCCCTGGCGGGGCCGCGCGACCCAGAGCCACTCTTTTCAAGCTCCCGGACCCCGGCCTAACCCGGAGGGGTATTGGCGGAGACCGAAACGTGGATCTGGGACAAAACATCTTCCCGTTGGCTTCCCGCCGCGCAGGCGCAGCGACGCGACCCCGCCTCCGGGCCGCCCCGCGCTGGCGCAGTGCCGGGATAGGCGAAAAGTGGCGCGCACTGGCAGCCCCTCCCTACTCTGCGGAAGCTCGCATACCCAGGCCCCTTCTCCGCTGCGGGAGCGGCTCAGAGATTGGAGCATACCAAGTCGTGACGGCCTGGGGGGAAGCATGTAGGGAAGGGAATATGAAGGCTAAATGCTCTGAAAGAGAAATGACGTTAAGTCCGTTATTCCCATTACGCTAGTGTTGGGTGCTGGCAAATAACGGAGATTTCCACGTGCAGCAAATACAGCTTTCCAGAGAGCTCTTAGGGGAAGACTAGCTCCACCCTACAGCATCCGTGACCCCTCCCCTCAGCCGCGAGACCGCCCCTCCGCCCTCGCTTGTTGGTGGGCTCGGAGGGGGCGGAGCAGGGCCGAGCTGGCCACGCCACCTAGGGACAGCGCGCGCCGCCGCAGTAGTTGGGGCCAGCCTCGGGAAGGAAGCGCCTGAGGCGAGCGCGAGCTGCTGAGCTCCACGGGCTGAGCTGGCGGCTGGTTGGTGCTTACACCTTGGCCGCAGCGGCAGGTCCCTCCACGTGCTTTCGGCGGCGACATGGAGCTGGAGGAGTTGGGGGTCCGAGAGGAATGTGGCGTGTTCGGGTGCATCGCCTCAGGAGAGTGGCCCACGCAGCTGGATGTGCCGCATGTGATCACTCTGGGACTCGTGGGGCTGCAGCACCGGTAAGCAACAGGGTGGGGGTGGCGGTGGCGGAGGCGTGCGTTTCCATCTCTCCGAGCCGCTTCAGTAGGCGTTCTCATGGGCGCCCGAGGGCTGGGAGGACCGACCTCTCCGACCTGAACCGGTACCTGCCTGTGGCATCGACCGGGTTGCCTAGGCGTGCACGAGGGGCACCTCGCTTCCATGAACTTTAGCCTGTCCTGCCCACCCTCCCAGCCACTCATGCCCTTTAGGGGCTTTCTGCTTCTCCGCCCCCGGTCTGTGCACCCCTCCAGAGGCTGGCCAGCTTGTAAAGCGCCGGTTTGCTTGGTCTAGCTGGGTCAGGGCTCCTCCCCGACTGCATGCGGGTTCTAGTATCCCCGAGCCTGTGGTTGCTCCTGTAAATAGGCTAGTGTGGCGTGGCGGCCAGTCCAGGTCCTTGAACACCTAAAGGTTTTCGCGCGGGGCCTCCAACCACCACAAGCTTTTGTTTGCAAGGGCAGAGCTATTGAGCAGATTATGGATTTGAAAGTAGTTATCGCTCTGGGAATTTGAGGATCCTAGACTTCAGACCCAGGGAAAGATGACTAGTTGATGTTGAGAATAACTACCGGTAGTAGATCTCATATAAATTAAGTGAAAATAAACCAACCATAGGGAATAATGCATCTGGAAAAGATTCGTTGGTAGACGTCTTGTAATGAATGAAAACCTTGGTAATATGACAAAAATTAACTCCCTTCTTCAAAAGGGGGACAGGGGAGTATTGTCTCTATGCCAAGATCCATACACTTGATTTTGAAAAATTGAGAGATCCCTTCGAGTTAAAAAAAAAATTACTTCGGTGATCTTTCCTTTTCTTACTACCTGACTTAACTGGAAGTTGATATAAATTATTACACTAGGATAAGAAAAACCTAGGTTTGATATTCTCACTGAAAGTATTACAGTTTCCATAAGGCAATACAGTAGTAACAACTTCTACTACAGTTAAGGAACTTGGCAATAACACTTAACAGCAAAATGGGTGCACCATGTATAAACGCATTCCAAATAATTAGCTTTCCCTCAACCAAACTTAAACTAGAAGTACTTTTTGCTGTTTTCATTGTCCCAAATACTTGAATTTCAGTTTCACATTTTGTGTATTCCTTGTTTACTAAAGAGCTGAGAATGTGGGAAGCATCAAAAAGAATATTTTTAACTTGCATAACTCCAATCTTGGATAATTGTGGGTTGACCATAATAGATTTCTTGTTTAAAAAAAAATTATTGAGAAAATTAGTTATATAATCCAAGGAGAAAGTAAACTCTTGATTATGTGGTAATTGTGAGCCACATTAGTTTGTAACATTCTTAGAAGTTATGGCCAGGCGCGGTGGCTCAAGCCTGTAATCCCAGCACTTTGGGAGGCCGAGGTGAGCAGATCACGAGGTCAAGAGATCAAGACCATCCTGGCCAACATGGTGAAACCCCGTCTCTACTAAAAATACAAAAACTAGCTGGGCGTGGTGGCGCACGTCTGAGGCAGGAGAATCGCTTGAACCCGGGAGATGGAGGTTCCAGAGAGCCAAGATCACACCACTGCACTCCAGCCTGGGCGACAGAGCGAGACTCCGTCTCAAAAAAAAAAGAAGTTATTTTGGATACTCTGTCATGGGGGTGGGGGAGAATCTAGAGGTCTTTAGGGTTGCCTGGTGGTCTGTAGAAAATATATATGAACTGTTCTTCACTATATTTACTTTTTTGCCAAAGTTATCCAAGAAATTTTCATTCCCCTTTCTCCTTCCCTTTAAGTGTGTGCCTGAAGAAAAAGAGACTTTTTAGAAAAACTTACATATTAGCACTAGTTGTAGTTTTAGTACCCATTTTAGGAAAATACTTGGTATTCATGGTTATGGGTTTTTGTGGGGGTTTTTTTTGTTTGTTTGTTTTTTTAATGAATACAATTTGATTCCTGGTTACATATATCTGTTTTCTATAGTTGCTTTTCTGTAAAAGAATTATAAGATTAAATAATACCAGATAAGGGCAATAATTATGTGATTATGTGGTTTTGAGGAACAAGTGTATTACTGAAAAACAATTTAAAATTTCTCTTGTGTAGGCATAGAATCATTAAGGTGCACAAAGAGGGCTGGTTCTCACCCATAATCAATTTAAAATTTTGCATGAGCTATAGTGCTCATCCTTTGGGAGGACTGATTCTGACTGGAAGAACAGTGACACTGCCTTATGTCTTAGAAATACAATTATCTGCTGCTCTAAACTGATAGATAAGGGCCAGAATAAAACTAAGACCTAACTTTTTTTTTTTTAGTTTAGTTAGTTTTTTGTATCTATATACTGTACCCTGAGAGGTGGTGGTCTGTTGCAGAAAGCTCTGTTTTCACTTTCTCACCCTCATTCACTCACTGGTTTTAAAACAACTGCAAAAAGGTTTGATTGGGTTTTTTTCCTTTTTGATGAAGGAATTTATTTCTTATACATTATCTTCTTGTTTTTTTTGTTTGGTTTTTTTTTTTTTTTTTTTTTGAGACAGAGTCTCACTCTGTTACCTAGGCTGGAGTGCAGTGGTATGTTCTGGGCTCACTGCAACCTCCATTTCTCAAGTTCAAGCAATTCTCGTACCTCAGCCTCCCGAGTAGCTGGGATTACAGGTGTCCGCCACCACACTCAGCTAATTTTTCTATTTTTAGCAGAGATGGGGTTTCACCATATTGACCAGGCTGGTCTCGAACTCCTGGCCTCAAGTGATCCACCCGCCTCAGCCTCCCAAAGTGCTGAGATTACAGGTGTGAGCCACCATGCCTGGCCAACCTTATCTTTAAGAAGATGGAATCTAGAAGGTGAGATTTCTGTAACTTTTGCTTTGTATTTGGTTCAGTTTTTTGTCTTGTGCATAATCTAATCGGAAACATTTAGTCCTGGGGTTAACAGAATACCTGGAAGGTATATTACCCATTTCATATAAAAATAAATAGAGTATCAATTAGTTAAGTCAGTCATGCACTGGATATTTAACCCAGATGGGTTCATCCAGATGTACTCCCCCCCTTTTTAGTAGTGCTCGCTATCTTCAGACTTATTCCGTAGCTCTGCTTTCTGTAGGGGAATTTTCAAATGTCCTCTTAGCTGTAAACTGTGCATGCATGTGTATGGGTATGTTCATGCCTGATTCATATAATCACCAAATGCTGGTTTGGTCCTGAAAACATCATTTCAGTAGCTTACGGAGTTCTGAACAAACCAGACACCCCTTCTTAGAATAAACATTTTCATCTTTAAAACACAGTCACATTTTATGGAGACTAGAATGGCCTGGACATATTTGAAGATTTCATAAAAGGAATTAGTAAACATCTGTAGATTTATCCCATGAATCAGCTAGTTAGCCTTTCCTTGATTAGTTAGGAGATAACCATGCCCTTCCCTTCAGTGAATTATCAGTTCTCCAGGTTAGGAATTGAACCTTACAATGACAAACATTTTCATACTACTTCTAAAAATTTATAAGATTTACCTGATGAAGTTGGGTTTCCTGTCTGCAGAAACATTCTGTAGAATCTTTTGGTTCTGTTATTATGCTTTGAGGAAACTGATTTGTAATGATCTCAGGAGCACTTTTCTTAAGAGATTTAGACACTGGTTCTGCAAACAGAGTACAGAACATTACCACTAGAAAGGCACTTGTGAGAATGAGAGATGCACTCAGTCAAACTTCTATGGATCTAGTTCCCAGTTAATCTTCATTTAGTTTTGTGGAGAACACAGGATTTGCTTGTCAGAGAACTTACTTTGGGATGCCAAATTAAGGCAGGGAATATCTTAATTTTGATTTTCATATTTGACTGAAAATGACCAAATATGTAACATTTCTATAGTGTTTAACTTTTATACTCCCTTAATCTATAACCTTTATCTAAGTCAAGTAAATTTTGGTTTGAGGAAGTGACTTAAGTGTCCTTGCAAATGGTTCCAGTCTTTGATTTTAATTATTTTATAATTCAGTGATTCTTGATTTAAAATAAGTGTTTTCAATTCTTCTATTTTTAACTATTGTTTTTTTAAAACTTAGCTTTTTGCATTAGTCTGAAGCAGAATTTACCTGCCCCCAAAAGTCTCCAAGTACCACTGCTTGGTCATTCTGGTCAATATTGGGAAGAGCTCCTTAACATACAATCTGAAATCTAGCTCCAGGTTTTCCAGTAACACCAGTTTAATCTTGGGCAAGTCTCCTAACTTCTGAGTCTGTTTCCTCATCTGTTGGCTTAGACTTACATACTGTAAGGTCTAATGCTCAAATTCAGTGGGTTCAGAATGATACTCTTGTGCGGTTAACCCTTAGCCGTTTAACCTGAAAGGAGAAACTGCTAAGGGTTAATGGCACAAGCATTTTATCTGACTTGCATTTATATCCATACTTGGAGAAGTACACTTTTCAGTTCACTTGAGATAAAAGGTTATAAGGGGAAGAGGAATTCTTGCTATTTGCTAATACTTTATTCAAAATGTATTTGTTGAGCAGGAGCTCAACAAATAGGAATAATGTACATCTAAGTACATTACTAAGGCACTATGGTAGACACTGGGAATACTTTACCATACAGGGCAGATGTGG